GCAGGTGGGTGGTGTTCACAGAGTTCCCACCGCCAAGACTGTCTCGCCTCAGATAGAAAGATGGTTTCCTTGGTTGGGATTCTCTGGTCCAGCAGAGTTTCAACGGACAGAGTGGACATGCAGACTGTTGATGTTTTCCTTGAAGGTGCCAACATCCCCTGGGCATGGGGCGGGTGCCATGGTCCATTGGCGTCAGCCAGGTCTCCTGTGAGTGGCGGGTGCTGCACCTGTAGTTCAAGAAACAGGAAGGATGGGACTGACCCGGCACTTGCCCCACGGAGTCACCTCACCCAGGAAGCTGGTCAGGGTAAGACTCCTCTTCTGTTTCTACGGAAAAGCAAGCAAGATGTGACTCTTTGTTTTCCTCACAATGTGCCTTGCACTTCACAGTCAGGACAGCTCCCTGCACCTCTGTCCCGGGGCAAACACAACATCGGGCTCTCTTTCCAGGTAGCTCAGGGCTTCAAGCCCTGTGGGGCTGTTTGCAGCCTGGGTTCTGCCTGACTCCTGTCCCAGCCAGAGGACCTCAGGTCCTGCCGCATTCTTATTCTGGGAGTTGAGGAAGGCCGGAGGCCCAGGAAGACAAAAGTGGTGGGAGATTCCAGCTCAGAACAAATGCTGTGAAGGCCAAAGAACCTCTTGACCAAACCCCCTCTCCCTAAACCCACGTTTGTTGTGAACGTTGAGATTAAGTAAGGCAGTTTCAAAGTCAAGATTTTTTTTATGGTACCCTGTAGCCTTACTCCTCAAAGTACAGATCAGTGGTTCTCAACCTTCTGGCCCTTTAAATACAGTTCCCCATGTTGTGACCCAACCATAACATTATTTTCGTTGCTACTTCATAACTGCAATGTTGCTACTGTGATGAATCGTCATGTAAATATCTGATATGCAGGATGGTCTTAGGCGACGCCTGTGAGAGGGTTGTTCGACCGCCAAAGGGGTCGCGACCCACAGGTTGAGAACCACTGGTATAGACTCAGGGCCAGCAGCAGCAGCTTCAGCTCGGAGTGTTAGACTTGGAAACTCAGCCCCCCTGCCCCCACAATTTTACAAGATCCCAGATCATTCATATGCACATTAGAGCTGAAGCAGCACTGTCCTAAAGGAGCACATGGCAGTGCTAAGGAGAAGAATGCGTTTCCTAAACTATGGAACACTATGCAATTCTTGGCCCTAAGAGACATTTTCCTTGTTTTCAACACAAACTGGGTTCTGTGTCCTGCTTTGAGCTCTAACGCCATCGAGCACTTCCTCCAGGTGTTGTCTGTCTCTATTGAGTTCTCCAAGGATTGTCTCAGAGCCTAGGATCTGCTCAATAGATGCTTGCTGAGTGGACAAACTCAGTGCTTCAAGAAAGCTTGCGTACTTGAACTCAAATGTCTAGAGAGAACAAGTGAGGATGGGCCTCTCTTAAAACCCGGAGAGTTCTCCATGCTTCTGCCTGCAGAGCTCTTACTCTCATTGGTGACACCAGTCTGGCTCCTGCCCCTCTTCACTTTCCTGCCCCTTTCTCTACATCTAGGTATGGGAGTACAGCCATGGTGCCAGCATCTGGTCCCTAAGACTTTCCCTTCGTCGGCAGACCTCCTGCCACTCCCTGTGCAGCAGCATGTAAAATAACTTTCCCTCTTCTGTGGGCCTGCAACCTGTGCCAGGTGTGAAGGGTCCTGGGTGGGGGAGGAGAGGACAAGGAAGGGGCCTGGCCCAGGGAACCTGGCAGCCTTGCTCGTGCTGGCAGGAGAGGGGAACAGGTGCAGGAGCCTGGTCACAACCCTCAGTCCTTCCCAAGAATGTCCTGTCTGGACATTTTCCCGAAGGACCATCACTTGGAACATTCTGTAAACCACACTACCTCCCTTGAGGATCCTTTCATTTGAACCTCATTGGTATGGCTATATATAGTAGCTATCGTTGACTTAAAAAATGAGTTTATAAGAGGCTTCCTTGTTGGGGCGGAGCCCTGGAGACTCAGGATCAGGCGGTAAAGTCCCTTTCAGTCACTTAGCCCTCTCCAGGCATTGGGTGGGAGGTGGGTTAAAGTCCCTTACACTGGGAGTTTATAGCTTGGACACTAGAGCTGACCAACACTGTCAACATTTCTTTATCTGTGATGCCAAAGTGAACCAGTGGGCACTAGATACAGGTAGACTGAGTCCCACATAGTTCTAAGACTGTTACCATTTACTGTGACTTTTGAGGGGTTACGATGTACTGTTCTCACTTCCCCAAAGTACCTCCAAAGTGGGTTCAAGGTGAATCTGTGGAATATGGAGGGGAGGCAGGCATGGAGGGCAAATTTCAAGGCCAGGAGGAAAAGCTCCTTCTGGGCACAGGAACATGGCTTGGGCCCATGTCTTCCCTTGCTGCTCATGAACTCAGGTAAGTTACTGCCTCCATCCTCCTACCTCATGGCCAGGGCAAAGGAGTTGATAATGCATTTAAACAGCACTTGTTACCCAGTATAGTTATATTCATTCAGACGAGAAAGCAGAGCTTAGGGAGCTCACTTAAGGCCGAGTCCCTGGTGCCCAAGTACCACCAGGCTCTCAGGACTGATTCTCAGCCTCACAGAAGCCTCAGGCCCAGGCCTCCTATGACTACATCTCTTACTTGTCTCCTCTGAAGCTCCTCCAACAGATCTGTACCATTTCCTTAACCAAGGTGTTCTGTCAGCACCCTTTGAATTTTTCAGTTTAGTCAAGTAATTCTAGTGGTATCATGCTCAATAGATCCTAGTATTCTCTCTAGAAAGGTGTGAGCACATTGAAAACACCATTGGCCTTCTCATCTACTCACCCAAAGTTCCTCAGTCTAGCCTGTTAGCCTGGGTGCTACATTCACTCTTAATTTGCTGTAACTGACCCTTCCATACTCTCCACTTTGCACAATGGATGTACCCGAGTCAGGCAGTGGAATGAACATGGGACATCCTGGGAAGGTACACTGTGGCTTTATGATCCCAAGTGGGTTTTGTCACCATTCCTACATGCTCCTGCACATCCACTGGCTAAGGTGACATTGCTGCAGTGTCTACTTCCCAGCACTGTTCTGAGTAAAGAACTTCCTATGGCACAAGGACTATTTCCTAGAACTCAGCTCCTTTATCAAAGGACTTTCCTTTTTCAGAGTAGCCCATTCTCCTATGCAGTGATAAAAGCTCTGTTTGGCTTAGTCTTTGGTTTCATTTTATAGCAATCAAAAGGAGAAAGTTGTGTGTCTTCAGCCTGAGATCTTAAAAATTGAAGCCTTTGCAGAGGTTGCATTCAATTCCTGCTTTTAACATGCTAAATTCTCAAAAACATAGTCAAACACATTCACTAGACAAACTCAACCAAGCCCTTTCAGTCTTCTGCTGACTAGCTGCTAAGCTAATTCTAAGGGTCATTAGCCAACTGGAACCATCTTTGAATTCACGCAGTTTTACCAGCTTTTATTATAAACACCAGCACATTTCAAGTTTCCTCTTTTTGATCACAAATATAGGACTGTTTTCTTCTCCTCCTAAGTATACAGCATTGAGACACAGCATCCGGGCTTTCCAGCTCTTAGAGACATTTCCATACGCCAAGTGCAGGATGGGCACCCACAGACCACACCCTCAGCTGCATCCTTTGGCATCTGGATTGAAGGGACGTGGACTCCAGGATGAGGTCGGTCCAGTTTGGATTCGAGGAGCACCTGAAAAAAGATGCCTCCCACTGTTAAAAGGCTGCACATCTGGAGTTTGGGCCTGGGCCGCCTCTCTAGGGCCCCAGATGGCTCACCCCTTCCTGTCTGAACATGGGGTCAGGGCTTTCCAACTGGGGGAGAAAGAGCTTCATGGGTGTGAGAAGTGGGCAAGCTGAGCAAGGACGGCCAGATGGCCACTGAGGGCCATGTCCTTGCTTTCTCTTTTGGAGAGGGTGAAGATGTGGGTTGGTTGGTGGTGCTAGATGATCTTATTCTTACTTGGCTTAATCTAGAAGATTCTAAGTAAGCTCTGTGCTAAAAGAAGTTTCTTAGAAAGTTTCCTCAAATTTAGATTCCCGAATCAAGTATTTTGAAAATATTTCTGTAAACACAGGGCCCAAACAAAAGCTATTTGGGCAACAATTTCAAAATTTAACGCAACTCCTGATCTAGACCACTCTCTGGTTGGGGGGACAAGTGATGAGACAGAACTCAGTTCACCAGTGCCCTGGAAGGGGGCATACTCTAGAGGACTAATTTCAATTATCCAGGTGGTGGCGTCCTCTCAGATGGGATTTTTACAGCATTCAGGAACTCTAGTGTCACCCTCAGTAAGGTTACCTGAAACGACACATAGGGGCCGACCTGGTGCCTAAGTGCAAGTATCCCTGAAAGCTGGAGGCCTCTTCTCACCACAGCAAGGCTGGTGGCCAGGGCTCTAGTCGTTGCCCCTCAGCCTCCAGGACTGCACCTCACTATTTCTAGAGGGTGGGGAATGAAGGGCTAAAGCTCTGTCCAGACCAGTGTTGGAGGCTGTGCAGGACATACTGCATGGCGGCACCCCCGCCCCCCACACACTGAACAATTTCAGGGGGAGGGGGCCCAGAAACCACCTCTACTCCCTGGAGCACCCTTTGCATCAATTCTGGGATTGGAATCGGCATATAGGAAGGGGGGGGAGGGGTAGACCAAAAACAAATGCAGGAACCTCCCTAGGGTTGCTGGGGTGGGGTGACTAAGAGAGGGATGGTGGACAGGAGGCAAAGTACTTGTACTGACCCATTTGTGTCCCTAGCTCTGTGGGTGAAGTTCCTTCGTGAGCATTGAATGTGTACAGCCATCACGGAGCTGACTGTCTCGGTCACTGGAAAGAATATTCCAGGTCTCGGTTGAGTCCTGTTGCCATCTGCATGACTACTAGGACTTTGCCCACCCCCCTCCTCTATGGGCAAACAACCAGAACCATGTCTTACAAAGAACAGACTCCAAAAATATATATAAATAAATAAAAACCTTAAACATTCTTACAGGGATCTTAAAGAACAGAATACATGTTAAAAACTTCAGTAATTTATATCAATTTTAAGCGGTACGTTATATACAATAGGGGAAAAAAACACATGCATAGTCCAAATACAATGTTGAAAACAGCATTTTCATTAACAAAAACCCCGAACACTAAGTGTTAATACCATATACATGAATTCAAGAAGGACCACCCTTTTTGTCTGTTGCACACAGTTTATTTAACAATATGATATAAGAAATGAGTTGGTACTTTACCGTCCTATACAGTGATTGAATCTTCTTGAATTTTCTTATTTATAGTAATTATAGCGCTTGCATGATTTACACTAGAATTGCTTTTCCTCATTTCAAGTTTCACATAGAAGAAAGAATGCTCTTCTCTATTAACATTAGCATGGTCTAAGAGAGTGATCATCCCTATTTTTTGTCTAAAACCAGTTTTATCAGAGAAACAAAGCAACAATTTCTACATCTGCAAGACAAGAGTTTGGCTTAAGCCAATATGTATAGATAGATGTGTGTGGGTGTGTATGTGTGTGCACGTAGGAGCCGATTCCTATCGTCCAGGGGTAATACTTGGAGAACGCCCACAGAGTTCACAATAGAAAAAATCTTCCCGCAACATCAGAAAGTTGTCGGAATACATTATAAGCTTGCATTATTTCAAGAATCAGTTTCTGAATATTATTTTTCTTCTCACTTTTAAACATAAATGTTTAAAGTCTTGAAAATACAAATAAAAAATATGGATATAATGAACTTGTTTTTCCCGTTAAAAAAAGGCATGAGTCACCAGCAATGACGACAAAAAATCCAAACAATCCCCCCTCCCCCCAAAACAAAAAAACAAAAACAAAAAAACAAAAAGAGAGAGACCAGATATTTAAATCAACTGGTTTTTAACAAAAAAATATATTCTTTGTATTGTTTCTTTAAACAGCAATCTACCCTTCCGTGGCCTGGAAGTAGCAGTTCCATCTAGGAATAAAAAGAACCTAGATGCTTGGATTTCAGTACAAAAGGTCCAAGAACATGAAAGGAAAAAAAAGTGATGCTCTCACAATGCTACAAACCCTCCACAAACTTTTCTAGGGTGTCTCCCGTGGTGTCGCCGACCAGGGACAGCTCATTGGACAATGCACTCCTGTTGGGGGTATTCAGCTGTGGTAGCATTGCACTCTGTTCGGGGTTCCCCAAGTGTCCCTGATCTATGGAGCTGGCCATGGTGACTGCAAGTCCTGGGTGGGGAGAACCAGTCTGGGGTGAGACGTGGTGTGGTGAAGGCTGGGGCTGTATCCGTGGTGATGGGCTGGAATGTGGAGGCTGGGACTGGGGCCGTGGAGACTGGACAGGGGCCGGAGACCGCACCTGGCTACTAAGGGATGTGGCCATCTGCTGGCCAGGGAGGTGCGAGGCCTGTGGCTGTCCTGAGAGCATGTGCTGCTGGGGGCTCATGGGGTTTGGCTGGCCTGGGGACCCAATCTGCTGCTTCATCTGTTGCTGCTGCAGAATCCGTTGCTGCAGAGCTTGCTGGATGTTGGGGGTGTTGTCTGCACCCAGCCCAGGCTGCCCCATCTGGCTGAGTTGTCCCATCTGAGCTGCCATCTGGCCCATGGAGTTTCCCTGCATGGGCAGGTGCTGCTGCATTCGCTGCTGCTGCATGGCCGGGGGATAGCCTCCAGGTCCTTGAGGCTGCTGGAACTGGCTGTGTCCTGCCATGCCTGCAGCCAGGCCAGCACTGCCCTGCTGTTGCTGCTGTTGCTGCTGTTGCTGCTGCTGCTGCTGCTGCAACAGCTGCCTCCGTAGCATCTCTCTATACTGTGGATTCATACTTGCCATGCTGGGGTTGTGTCCTGGGTTCATGATGTTCAGGGCCTGACCCTGGGGGTTCAGGCCTCCCATTGCTTGCTGCTGCGGAGGCACACCGGGCCGTGGCCCGCTGGCTTGCATGGCATTCAGGTTCTGCAGGCTGGGCTGCTGGTGCAGGCCAGGCTGGGGCTGTAGGCCGGGCTGGGCCTGGAGGCTGGGCTGGGGCTGCAGGCCGGGCTGGTTGGCCACGTACTTGGCCGTGCGCTGTTTGATGAAAGCCGCCATCAGCTGCGGGTTCGACTTGAGGATGTTGAGCACCTGCTGCTGCTGCTGCGGGGAGCTGGGGGACTTGAGGGTGCGCAGCAGGTCCTGCAGGGCGCCGGGGGAGATGCTGCGAGGCGGCTGCACGTTAGGCATCCGGGGTCCGGCTACCGCTGGTTGGGCCGGCATAGACATCACGGGTCTGGGCAGGCCCGGCATCGGTGGTTGCTGCGGGATGGGAGCTGGCTGCCACTGCCCGGGGGGCAGGTTGGGCATGACAGGCCCGCTGACCTGGTTGGGCCGGGGCACATTCAGGCCCACAGGAGCCATCTGGTTCACGGGAGTCACCATGCCTGTGCGCCCCGGGGGCATGCCGTTGTTGATGTTCACCCGATACAGATGCTGCTGCTGCTGCGCCTCGCGTTCAATCTGCCGGGCCGCCTCCACTGCCGCAGGTGGGGGCTGGGCGGGGGGTGGTGGGGCTGGCACCTGGTTGGTGGGCTTCCCAGTGGACACTGTGGTGGGGGGCTGAGTTCGGACCACGCTGGAGAAACCGGCTGGTGACATGCTCACAGGCGAGGGCTGGGGCTGGGCTGGGGGCTGTGGTGTCTGGGGTGTGCTGGGTTGCTGTGTAGGGGTCCCGGGTGGTGCTGAGGTAGGGGAAGGCAGACTTTGCTGAGGCACGTTGCGGGTGTTCATGGTGGCCATTCGCCGGCGCATGAGCTGCGCTTGCTGCAGGCGGTGCTGGATCTGCTGCTGGCGGAGCTTGTGTTTGATGTTGAGGCAGAAGGGCACGGGGCATTTGTTTTCTTGGCAGTGTTTGGCATGGTAGCAGCAAAGGGCAATGAGCTGCTTGCATACTGGGCAGCCTCCATTGGTCTTGCGCTTGCAGCCCTTAGTGTGCTGTACAACCCGCTTCATCTTCTGGCAGGACGGCAGCGAGCAGTTGGCATTGCGGCACTGGCAGGCGTGCACCAGGGACTGGATGCAGCGCTGGATGCTCAGGCGCCGTGACTCCTGGGGGCTCTTAGACTGCGGCTCACCCTGGCTGCCGCCCTCGTCGTCTAGGCCCAGTCCCCACTTCACCATCTTGTGGGTGTGGCTCTTTGTGTTGTAGCAGTTGATGCAAAGGTCATAGTCCTGCAGACAAAGAAAGGGTCAGGCTAGCATCAGCATGTGGCCCAGCGTTAGACATCCCAGCCACCCCCTGGAACCTTCACTTCCGGGAACTCCTCCACAGCCCGAAAGGCTCAAAAGACCACGAGATCCATCTACTCGCCCTCACCCCGCACTCTTCCAGGGACCCCCTCGCATTTCCCAACCTGTGAGCAGGTACATAGGCTCACCCATGCATGCGGTGTATGGCTTCATGTCCACCCAAGGCTTTCGAGTACATTGGTGGGCACTGGTTCCCCTTTCCTTCCTTCCTCTGCACCCTGGGAATCACACCCAGCCATCCTGCCCCCACGCCTGGCCTGGCAAGCCTGACAGTGAAGGAGTGACTGTTGCTATACCTATTTGCTCCCAAGTGCCTGCCACATGAGCATCTGAAGTACCACAGACCTGAGTTCCTAGAGACTGGGTGCCCTCAGTGCACCCCCAGAGCTCTGCAGGGCGGTCCAGGAGGGCACTGGAGCTAAGAAGCCTTCACCGGGAGAGGCCTCTCCCCAGATTTCTAAAAGCCGCCTACGTCTAGAGACAGACAACAGGTGCTAGAACAGAGAATGGAGCCGATGGCCAGGACTAATAACCTTTTCATAGTAAAGATGTGAAAATCTCAGCAGTAGGAAATGAGAGGGAGAACAAAAGGAGGTTGGAAAAAGCAGGAAGTAAAGATGAGGGCATTACAAAGGCTCTGCTCTTCTCCTCAGCGATCACAGAGCCACTTCTGTAGGGCCCATGATTGTGGAGATCATCCTAGAGGCCGACACTGGACTGGGAGGAGTCTATGACTGTCTGCAGGGGAGGAGATGGAGGGCTCAAAATAGCCTGGCTCACCCCATGTGAGGGACCCATCTATGCAAGAGAAAGACCCCGCCCCTGCGCACAGGGGACAAGACCTCTGCAGGGGGAAGACAGTGTGGTATGGCCATGGGGTCCAACCAAGACAAGGGAGAAGGGTTACCACAGTTCTGGAAGGATCAAAGCACTGCCAACGCCTCTCCTGCTCTCTCCATGCTCCTGCTCTGGCACCACGAGGACTGTGGATGTGCCCGATACAGAGCCGGGATTAATGAAACACAGGGAATAACAAGTGCCTGTGGTCGTCTCCTCATCTAGACAGGTCAGTGCTTGCTGACTCCCAGGAAGACTAGCTTGTCCTGCCAAGGGGATCCTGTCACTGTCATGCTCAGTTTGTTCAGGACCAGACCATGCTCCACGAAGGTAGAGGCTTTTTATCTTGAATGTCTGGTGTTGAACCTAGTGCAGTCACATAGCAGAAACCCAATAAATAAGAGTTAGATCTTATGTGTGAACTAAAATAAAACAATCTATTTCATAATCAACAGCGCCCTTAGAGGAGCAGTGATCATTTTTCTCTCCTGAGAAGTGCCAACTGTCTAATAGTTCAACCTAAAATGCAAATGCATAGACCACAGAGGGCTGGGAGCAGCCAAGGGGACCTCAGATTCGTGGACCACACCAGCGCTGCCAGTTCTGTCCGAGCGAGGCACAGGGAGGGAGATATGGGCCTACCTCGCACACGGTACAATGCCAGCGTGTCTCCACATGGTGCTTGCACTCATTGCAGGTGTAGACAAAGCGGTCCTGGCCCTGGGTGTGCAACTCCACCAGCATGCACAGCGTGGACCACTTGGACCGCCTCAGAGAGGAGAATTCCCAGTGCTTGTCCCTGGCGAGGGTGAGGAAGGCGTCGCGCCCATCCATGAGGTCGCAGCTGAGCAGGGGGTCGGGGTCAACAATAGGGGGCAGCGTATTGATGACAGGCCCAGCATGGAGGTGGATCACAAAGAAGACCTGCAGGAAGAACAGCAGGAGTATGTCAGCCCACAAAGAGCGTGCTGAGGAGGGCTGGCCCTGCAGGGACCCGGGCCACCCCGGCTTGCAGAACAGAGACTGCGCTGAGCCTGACACCTGCTGTCCCAGGGGTGTCAAAGGCCCAACTCCCTGGGGATGAACTGACTTGATGATGCACTGTGTGGTGTTATCCAACCAGCCAGGTCTGCCTGTGTGCACCAAACAGAGTGTCACCATGCCTTTCCCCTTCTCTTGGCCAGGGGCAGGGTTGTGGCTTCTTTGGCAACCCCCCTTCTTTATCTTGGTCTAGGGGGCCACAAATCCTGGGTTCTGTGGCCTGCCTTGTATCTCACCTCTTTGTGTTTCTCCATGGTGGCGTAGAGCTTCTGGGACAAGTCGTTGGACACGTTGGGCATACTGGGTTTCTTCTTGTTGGCCCGGCTGATACTGCTTTTATTCTTGTTGGTTTTCTTGTTGTTCTTTTTCTTGGCATTCTTGCTGTCACCCTGGCTGCCCTGCAACAACACAGACTTGTCAGACAAGCCCAGCCTCCTCCTCCAGGTCCAGTACCTAGCCGGGACTCCCAGCTCCAGGCCCTGGACTGTGGATGTGCTCAACACAGAACCAGGGTTAATGGAACACAGGAAATAAAATAACAAGTGCCTGTGATCGTCTCCTCATCTGGACAAGTCAGCACACATACTCACTCTGGGTGCTGAAAGGACTGTCACTCCAGGAAGCACCCTTTGCAGATCTCTACCTACATGGGCTGTGTAAACACACTGCTGCCTTCACAGGAAACTGCAGCAGGAAAAGTGATGAGGATGGAAGCAGGGCCTGTATATTCAGCTAAGACCCCAATGGGCACAGTGGTGATACATCAACAGAGAGCAAGTGTGGCCTGTGTCATGGAGGCCACAGGACACGTTACCTCTTGAGGGAAGAACATACCTGGGACGCTAATTTGGAATATAGCAACAGAGGAAGCAATTTTACATTGTTTCACGTCATCCCACTGGACACCTGCAGTTCCATGGCATATCCTGCATGCTCAGTGGCTTATTCTTTGCTTTGGAAAGACTCCAAATATCCACAAGCGAGAGAAATGGGAAAGGTGCTAATGAAGAAGCCGCTGCACAGATAGGAGCAGGTCCCAAGCAAGGCTACAGGACATCTTCCTGACCCTGCTCCCATTCCCCAGGCCCACTCAGGCCTGAAACACACCATTAGTGCTGCAACTGGCTTAAGTCTAAGCGGTTTTGCTGCTCAGTTAAAATGCTCCTACTCTGGGAAGAACTCAGGCTTAGTTATTCAGGTTTCAAGGCGAGAACGCTCATTTGGTCTGGTCCAAAGAACTTAGTTTATAACTAGGGGAGAGAGGGGAAGAGGCAGGGGCCACCCCGGCTTGCAGAACAGAGACTGCGCTGAGCCTGACACCTGCTGTCCCAGGGGTGTCAAAGGCCCAACTCCCTGGGGATGAACTGACTTGATGATGCACTGTGTGGTGTTATCCAACCAGCCAGGTCTGCCTGTGTGCACCAGAGTGTCACCATGCCTTTCCCCTTCTCTTGGCCAGGGGCAGGGTTGTGGCTTCTTCGGCAACCCCCCTTCTTTATCTTGGTCTAGGGGGGCACAAATCCTGGGTTCTGTGGCCTGCCTTGTATCTCACCTCTTTGTGTTTCTCCATGGTGGCGTAGAGCTTCTGGGACAAGTCGTTGGACACGTTGGGCATACTGGGTTTCTTCTTGTTGGCCCGGCTGATACTGCTTTTATTCTTGTTGGTTTTCTTGTTGTTCTTTTTCTTGGCATTCTTGCTGTCACCCTGGCTGCCCTGCAACAACACAGACTTGTCAGACAAGCCCAGCCTCCTCCTCCAGGTCCAGTACCTAGCCGGGACTCCCAGCTCCAGGCCCTGGACTGTGGATGTGCTCAACACAGAACCAGGGTTAATGGAACACAGGAAATAAAATAACAAGTGCCTGTGATCGTCTCCTCATCTGGACAAGTCAGCACACATACTCACTCTGGGTGCTGAAAGGACTGTCACTCCAGGAAGCACCCTTTGCAGATCTCTACCTACATGGGCTGTGTAAACACACTGCTGCCTTCACAGGAAACTGCAGCAGGAAAAGTGATGAGGATGGAAGCAGGGCCTGTATATTCAGCTAAGACCCCAATGGGCACAGTGGTGATACATCAACAGAGAGCAAGTGTGGCCTGTGTCATGGAGGCCACAGGACACGTTACCTCTTGAGGGAAGAACATACCTGGGACGCTAATTTGGAATATAGCAACAGAGGAAGCAATTTTACATTGTTTCACGTCATCCCACTGGACACCTGCAGTTCCATGGCATATCCTGCATGCTCAGTGGCTTATTCTTTGCTTTGGAAAGACTCCAAATATCCACAAGCGAGAGAAATGGGAAAGGTGCTAATGAAGAAGCCGCTGCACAGATAGGAGCAGGTCCCAAGCAAGGCTACAGGACATCTTCCTGACCCTGCTCCCATTCCCCAGGCCCACTCAGGCCTGAAACACACCATTAGTGCTGCAACTGGCTTAAGTCTAAGCGGTTTTGCTGCTCAGTTAAAATGCTCCTACTCTGGGAAGAACTCAGGCTTAGTTATTCAGGTTTCAAGGCGAGAACGCTCATTTGGTCTGGTCCAAAGAACTTAGTTTATAACTAGGGGAGAGAGGGGAAGAGGTAGGGAGAGAAGGCAAGAAGGGTGGGGGGAGAGAGACACACACACATACACTGGGTGCTGAAAGGAGTGACACTTTAGTCCAGTGGTTCTCAACCTTCTGGCCCTGTAAATACAGTTCCTCATGTTGTGACCCAACCATAAAATTATTTTCGTTGCTACTTCATAACTGTAATGTTGCTATGTTATGAATTGTAATGTAAATATCTTATGCAGGATGGTCTTAGGCGACCCCTGTGAAAGGGGCGTTTGACCGCCAAAGGGATCGCGGCCCACAGGTTGAGAAAGCGCTGCTTTAGGGGAAGTGCAGCTGCACTCTACCTCCTCCACCACCACCACCTCTGAGAAAGAGCCAGGAGGGGACTAAGAAGTCCTGACAACTGGAAGTAACGTGGACCCAGATCAGAAAAGGTCACTGTTAAAAACTAAGGACACTGAATGAATTTTGGACTCTGGTTAACAATGATGTATCAATACTGGTTCAGCAATTGTCACAAATGCAGCACACGGATTTAAGATGCCAGGTACTAGAATACCCGTAACTCTGTATCATCTGCTCAAGTTTTCTCTAAGCCTTTATTCTAAAATAAAAGCCTATATTTTATTTTACTATTTTTAAAAAATATTTTTATTGATTTTAGAGAGAGGAAAGGAGAGAGAGAGAGAGAAACATTAATGATGAGAGAGAATCATTGACTGGCTGCCTCCTGCACGCCCCCGCCCTGGGGACCGAGCCCACAACCTGGGCATGTGCCCTGACCAGGAATAGAACCACAACCTCCTGGTTCATAGGTCGATGTCCAGCCACTGAGTTAACACCAGCCGGACTAAAGCCTTTATTTTAAGTTATAAAATATATAGATTTACTTTACAGTTTATAAAACATAGCCAAATAATAAAAATATATATATATTTGCCATCAAAGCAACAGCTGCTATGCACATTTACTTTGTGTATTTTTCTTTACAAAGCTGGGGTCATACACAAGTTGAGGTTGCTCCTGGTGCTTCTCCACTACGGCAAGCACCTTTCCATGTCTCCTATTAAGACCACTTTTAATGGCAAAGCATCATTCCATCACAAGTGCTGTCCGTAACTAAGCCAATCCTTAGTTATGTGAACTGAACACTCCATCCCTCACCTCCATGTCCTGCTATCTCCACCACATGCAAATCCATGGTTAGCAATGGCTGGCTCAGGCATCAGCCTTTATCTATTTCTAACTCCCAGAAAGCCCCACCAACCTTAGGCCAGAGGCGGGCAACGAGGTACATGTCCTTGACTGGGAATCAAGCCCATGACCCTTTAGTCCTAGGGCCGATGCTCTAACCACTGAGCCACTGGCCAGGGCTCCTCTTGGATATTTACAGGCATTGCAACATTAACATGTCTGCAGCCAATTCTTTTTTTTTTTTTTCCCCCTACTGGGGATGTGCCCGTAACCAAGGTACATGCCCTTGACCGGAATCGAACCTGGGACCCTTGAGTCCAAAGGCCGATGCTCTATCCACTGAGCCAAACCAGTTAGGGCTGCAGCCAATCTTGACTTCTTCCCCCAAATACGCTCTCCCTCTTCCTCTTCCCTCAGGTAGAGGTAGCAATAGACACAACGGGCAACCCTGACTCAGGATTTTCCTCACATGCCACAAAGATCCACCCCAAACTCTGGGGCTGCTACTGTTAAGATACACAGCATTTCCCACAGCCTCTACAGCTACGAGCCAAAACACCAAGTCTTACTGGACACCCCAAAGCATGGCACACTTGCTCACAACTCGGACGCCTAAAGTTTCTCCTCCTCCTGCTGGAAGCTTCGTCTCTCAGGGACCCCCTGGGTTCCTTCTCACCAGGTCAGTCTCTGCTCAGATGCCTCTTCCCAGACAAGCCCCTCCCCCCATTCCCTCGTATTCCCCGTGCTTCCTTTTCTCCACAGCTTGCACCACTATCTCGAGTGCTGGGCATGTGTTTTTCTTGTTTCTCCTACTAGAACATACATCCCTTGAGGGCAGGGATGGTGTTTTCCTTAGTTCTCAGTGCACTGCTCAGGGTCATGACTGCACACAGCGTGAGTGCGAGTGCGGACACCACAGAAAGATGCAGGTGTGTGTGTTTAGTTTGTAAAATACTCTTAAATCAATTGATTGGTCTCTGGCTGTGACATATTCATGACACAACTGTTTCTGTCTCCATCTGTTCTGGGCTCCCTGGCAGGGCACCCACCTCTCATCTTTCTGTGCCTTGGCCCCCTCTGTTATGCACAGAGATGCTGGAGTAAGCACCTCCTGTCCCCTGATGTGTCTCTAGTGCCCACATCTCAGATCGCCCAGCAACCAGTGTGGTTTGTGCTTCCAAGCCCCAGACATATTGTGCATAGTGACAAGGTAAGGTTATGCATGAAAATACCATCACACACACCATGTGAACTCAACAGCATAAGTTCACTCTCCAACCTGCCAGAATTCGTCCTTCAGCGTACACATCTGGGGCACCAGCTTTCCAGGAGTGTGGGGTAGTGGGACGGAGGGGCTTTACCTCTGTAGTCTCACTGGCTGCAGTGCTCTCTTCCTTCTTCCTCTCTTCTTCTTCTTGTTCCAGCTCCTTAATGCTCTCCTCCAACACGTTGGGCCAGAAGTCACCCTCAAAATAGGGCAATTCCTTGGCACTGGTGAGCCTGTCTTCAGTTGCTTGTTTGAAAATGTCCTGAGAGTAAACAAAGCACCGCAGTGAGATAAGGGCTCAGGCAAAGCTCCTGAGGAAGGGGCAGGGCAGCCACAACACCGAAGAGGATCCCGGTGCAGCATATTCCATGGTGCACAATGGCCACGATCAGCCAATTTAAACAGATGACATGACAGCACTGCTTTCAGACTGCCAACTAGAAATCTTGATAGACTGCAGATACGATGCTTTTACATTTTTATTTCACTTTTTTTCCTTTGGCTTTCTGATCCTCGTTAAGTGAATACAATTCTAACATATGTGAGTGTGAGAGAAAGACACCTGAAGGTGTAACAAAGCCACTGCATGCCCTCCTTCAGTAAGCACCAGGTACCTTGTAGTCATGGATGATCCGCTCTGCAAAAGCCTTGTCCAGCATCTTTTTGTACCACTCCTGTAGGCGCTTCGGTTTTGGGATTTTTTGATCAGGGGGGTGGCAATGGAAGATGTAGTCATCTCCTTCACTTGGGGGACAGGCCCAGATATGTCCTGTCACATACCTATAGGATACACACACATAATTCAGATCAAGTGCTGAGCAAAACTATCCCTGCTTTCAAGGAGTAACAGCTGAGGAAGAGGGACCAAAGCAAGGACAGAAATAACTATATATAAAGAAAAAGGAAAGCAAAGAAATGGCCACAATGCTTGTGGCAGAATGGATAAGACATTTAGAGAGATTCCAAACCAGTGTGATGGGAGTTGGGGATGCATGGGTAAGGCCAAACATCCCTAGTGTGCAAATGCACACCTGGAATTCAGCCCTAAGATGCTTCCTTCTCAGGTTGTGCAGGTTGGGCAGGGGCCTAGGCTGTAAGGGAACCTGTGAGCACAGGAGAAAGCCTGGGAAGACAGTGACTCATTAGGTTTATCAAATGGCTTTTACCCAGGGACACACTGAATTTCACCTACTTTCTTCAGCACATAGGAAAGGCAGTTGGATATTTCTAAGGGTTCAAGTTAAAATAAATCTTACTCATTTTGTTTAAGACACCTCAATCAAATATCTCCAACTTTTTCAGATTTGGGAAAGGAATATGACAGATCTAGAACATGACAACAGATGTAAAGAATTCAGAGGCAAGAGACCACATCTTGTAGGTTCCCATTCCTACAAAACATTGAGAAAAAGCAAATTCATGGGGACAGAAAGCAGATTAGTGGTCACTGGGGGTAGGGGTAGGACAAGGATTAAGAGCAAATGGGCACAGGGAACTTATTGGGAGATGACAATGTTCTGAGACTGATTAAGGGTGATGGCTACACCACTCCATAAAGTTACTAAAAGTCAGTGAAGTGTACACCTGAAATAGGCGAATTTTATAATATATAACATATGCTTCAATAAATTTTTTTTTTAGAAAGACACCAGAATGGAAAAATAATGAAAAGAATGCAGAAGGCAGAAAAAGTGCATGCATTGCCCTGAGAAGCCCCAAGAACATGAGAGAAGCTCTGGAGGCTTCAGAATCCAGCTAAGGACATTAAAATAAAAACACATCAAACTTAAACATTCTCATTATTTCACAAAATAAATATATAGGAAAATTAAAAATGGAGCTTTAATTAGTTCTAGATAATCTAAATGAAACTCACCCCAATTTCTTCACATATTCTAAATATCCAATAAGGATCTCATGGTAAACAGCTGTCCGCAGGCATCGGGGTCGGAAGAAATGAATACTGTCCAGATAAGATATGTACACACGCCTGGGTGTGGGAGAGAGAATTAATCAACAGCTCAGGGCATCCTGAAATAAATTTTATTCAACAGCATTTACACTGACCACAAAAAGCATATAAAAACACAAGAAAACTTCCATTGCCAACTGCCGCTGCCAATCAATAAAATGGAATCCAATTTCATCACCAAAGTGAGAAGCAATGGCATCTCATCACTTACCACAGAGAACCATGGATAGATCAGGGCAAACTACAAAAAGACATTTTTAAATTCCCTCTCACCCAGATTCTAGAATGAACACGAAAGAACTCTTCATAGAGGTACTTCATTTTTTTTTTTAGGTGCATCAGAGAATGTCCAGGCTCATGGCGTGGTCCCCACCCCATTCTCTGTGGCTCTACCTGCCCCAGGTAAGACAGGGACAACAGCAAGACCAGAACCAGGACCCATGAATACTCAAAACACAAAACAGGCTTGAAATAGTCATAGAAACCTTTCACTCCCCACTGGCTTAGAGGAAACATAAATGTAATTTGGTTAATCAATAGTGGATTATTTAATTTTAACCTGGCTCTAAAGCACACAGGTTCTCTAAGACACATAGAACCTCATTGTAAGACAGCATGACACCCCTTGAAAGGAGATAGAGGACTACCTTGTGTTTGGAGGGGGGCAATCAGAGCCATATTCTTGGACATGCATTCCAAAGAAGCATACATCCACTCCATCAATTTCCTCAAAAGCAAAGAGAGCTTTGGTTCGATACGGGAAAGATTCAGACATTTCCCCAGAGTCCACAAACCTGAAATAAAAGTCAGAATCTGATGTTTGCATGCATCATTATTCATAAGGTACTTTATAACCTAGATCTGCTGCAGTAAACCCGCTCAGGGTAGAGGAGACAAAGGCCTGTCACTTCTGACTACCAGCCCAGAGCTCTTACCACTAGTGTGAGCAGCTTGGAGCTTTGATCCCATTCTTTGTGACACTGTTTCACTTGATTGGGAATTTTACCTTCTCTAATGAATTTGGGATAGAAAGAAGGGCTTGCAACACACTAACCACTGAAAATCTTTTAAATTATGCAAAAAGCCTATCAGAAAGTGGGGCTTTTGTTAACCAGGTGGGGTAAGCACTAGAACAGTGCTGTTTTGGAAAATAGCACAATCTGCACACAAACCGTGACTTCATCCCAGGCTTGACCTCCACAGTCTTATCTGAGCTGGCCACCACTCGAACAAAGACCTCCCCGGCTTCAGGATGATTCTGTCGCCGCAAAAACTTGTTGACTCGGTCTTCTAAGTGGTTTCCCAATCGCGTGGTTTGCAGTCCTGGAAAATTTAGAAGGAGCAGGTGAGAGAGCTTTGGAAGGACTATGGAGAAGGCAACAGAGACCACAGATTCCTCCTTTTCCTTTCAGGGTAATCTGACGTATTTTATTTGTGTTTGTTTGTGTGTGTGTGTGTGTGTGTGTGTGTGTGTGTGTTTGGTTAATCCTCACCCAAGGGTATTTTTTTCTTGATCTTTTTTTCTAGAGAGAGTGGAAGAGAGAATCAATGAGAGAGGGACACATTGATTGGTTATCTCCTGCACACCCCCCGACTAGGGCCTGGGAGGAGCCTGCAACCAATGTATGTGCCATTGACCAGAATTGAACCCAGGACCCTTTGGTCCGCAGGCCAATGCTCTATCCACCAAGCCAAACCGGCTATGGGAATCTGACATATTTTAAAAGAATTAACGTTCTGCCCTGGCCAGCTGGCTTAGTTGGTTGGGGTGTCGTCCCATACACCAAAACTTTGCGGGTTCGATGCCCGGTTGGGGTGTGTAAGAGAGGCAAACGATCAATTTCTCTCTCTCTCATTGATGTCTGTCTGTCTCTCTCAAAATTAATAAAAACATATCCTTGGATGAGAATTAAAAAAAAAAAGAATTAACATTCTCTAAAACCAGAAGGCACTTAGTTTATCGTATGAAGTAAGCTTTTATGAGGGAAAGGGGTGCTCTAGAATCTCAGGCACTCTACATCTTCAAAATTGCCATCAATTGCCCTGATATTTCCATCTTTTTTGAACCATAATGGCAGAGGAGCCATGAAGGTGGACCTGAATCTGAAAGAAGATGGGCTATGGAGTAAAGTGGGGGAGCAGGCATAAGGAGGGCCATGCTGTGCCCACCAGCCTTCTGCTCCCTCCTCCTGGGCCTGGTGAGGTGGAGATCTGGCCCCGGGTGCTCCCACGAAGCTGCTCAGAGTCACAGCTGTGCCCCAAGGCTAGAACTCTAACGGAAGCAGGGAGCCTGCCACTGCTTTCCCTGGAGGAGGTCAGGGTTGCTGCGCATGTGTTCCTTGACCCACTCTCCCCTTCCTGCCCAGCTTTGAGGAGAGCCCTCACTGCAGAGTTAAGACAGAGTGCACAGTACATTCCATGGCCAACTAAGCTCTGTGAGTGTTCCTATTATGGCAAGTGCACAGACACTGTCTCATATCCAGGCCTACCCCAGCTCCGTTCCTGGGTAGGTTCCTCTTCCCCTCCACAATCCTCTCTTCAAGGGACCACCCAAGCATGACCACTGTGACAGGGCATATACAGCAAGCTACCCAAAGGTAACACATCAGTCATAGCATAAAAAACTCCCTGCACGTGAGAAAAAATAAGACTAGCAGCAAGAGCTGCACAAGGTTCACAATAATTATTTATATATAATGGGATTTTAAAGTTTTCTACTTTATACTTATTGATTTCAAAAATATTTACAACAATAAGAAATGTTTTTAAAAAGGTATTTGGGATTTTAGAAGATTCCTTACTGAGGTCAAGAAATATATGGAAAATTTAGACTAACTTTCTTAATCCCATTTTTCTGTGATAAAATACCAATGGTGGCCGAAACCGGTTTGGCTCAGTGGATGGAGCGTCGGCCTGCGGACTGAAGGGTCCCGGGTTCGATTCCGGTCAGGGGCATGTGCCTTGGTTGTGGGCATATCCCCAGTGGGAGATGTGCAGGAGGCAGCTGATCGATGTTTCTCTCTCATCGATGTTTCTAACTCTCTATCTCTCTCCCCTCCTCTGTAAAAAATCAATAAAATATATTTAAAAAAAATACCAATAGTGGAGTTCTTTTGATATATAAGTTATGCCTCAAGAAAAATAATTTAAAAAGAAAAACACAATGGCAATAAAATAAAAAACACACAGGAAAACAAAAACTTAAAAAGCTATAAAAATTCAGGGGAGTGCATTTGTGATCTATTTCACATGCTGATGAAGATGTACCCTGTACACAGCTGTGTGGTCACACTCTGGACCCCTCCCAATGCAGCACACCCCACACCCGAGACAGCTATCCTGAGAAATGCAGCCTTAGCTGTACGGCACAGGCCATCTCGTCTGTTCTTCGTGAAGCCCCTGAAGAAAAGGCTCACATTCTTGCCCATGTTCTTGCATTGCCCCTCCATGCCGCTGCTGAGTACGTTTTGTTCCCTCATGAGGCGTTTCCAATCCAGAAGGGAGGACACAACTAAGAAGAGCCACCATAGTGAGGGAATCCCCTTAGCTTCTGAAAATACGACCCACACACTATGATTTCCAAATAGCAGACCAAAGGACCTTTAAAATTAGGTCTGTACATTTTCTTCAAATCACCGGAGTGAAAGCAGGGTGATTCTCATCCATGTGATGCACACATGGAGGTGTATTTCAGGTCTTCCAGTGTTTATGCAGTAGGCCTTTCTCCCATTTTTGGGGGTGGGGGTGGGGAGGTGCTTTTCTCTTTATGTGATCAAATCCTTTAGCTTATTGCTTTCTCACTCTGGGTTTATTTTTTAGGAAGGTTTTTTTTATAACCCAACACAGTAAAAATACTCTTTCTGTGACCTTGAGTTCACTTGCAGTTGTTTCCTTTTCTCCTTTAACCATCTGAAATGGAATTGTGTGTGTGGTATAAGGTAGGGAGGTGGCTCTGGATGGATGGTCAATTGTGACTATCATTCACTGACTACCAGTTGAAAGACATATTTAATATTCACTCAGTGCAAATATGAATGAGGCAAACTTTCCTTTGTGATCTACAAAAACTCGGAACACAAGGGTGACACTAGACTTCTAAGATCCTTTTCTGTAAGCAAATGTTCTATATCTTAAACACTAAAGCTCATCTACGTAAGGTCCACATGTCTTTCTCTCCCATTCTCTGGACATGGGGTGAGCTGTGACCCCGTACACCTCACCCTTGTGCCTTCCAGCTGAAGTTGCTCTTCTGGTGAGATCTAGCTCTCTTGGCAGTTTAGTTTGGTCACTGAAGCTCTGGCCTAAGCAAGTGTTTCTAAGTTGCTGACTGCTTTAGTGATTTCACTCAGAATGGACCCTCTAAGGTAGAGGCAACTACTTTCCCCCAAGGCACATCTGGCAAGGTCTGGAGACATTTCTGATGTTCACTACCCATGAGGATGAGGGTTATTGATATTTAGTAGGCTGCAGCCAGGGATGCTGCTAAAACCCTACAAAGCACAGGACAGCCATCATAACAATGATCTGGTCCTGAATGTCAATAGCGGCTCAGCGGAGAAATCCTAATCTAAAGATAAATATTACAGTAGCCGATAAGAGGTCAATGGGAGAAAAAAGAGGACATATGTAATACTTTCAACAATAAAAATTAAAAAAAAATTACAGTAGCCAGTGAGTTTCTAAGTATCTCAAAACATTTTATAAAAGTGAGTTTAAGTTATAAGATAACTATGGATTTTATTAACTACAGGGTTTGAACTTGAATTGACAACTTGGAAGCCTATGTATGGAATGACTTCCTTTTTGCATGCTTCACGTCCCCTCCTTCCCCCAGCATGTGACCTCTCCTCCGTCCCATCTCTCTTCTATTCCCAACACTTCAGATGAGCTGGCTCTTGTTGGAGACACCCTGAGCGGTGTGCTAGTCACCTATCCTGCTGCAGGGAGTACTGGGAAGGTGCACTTCAAGGCTCCACTGTAGGTGGCTTTCCTACTCAGGTTCTCTATTAACTCAGCAAAAGGACAGCCTGGGAATGCCACGCTGTGGAAGGTGTCCTCAGTACTTGAGAATCAAGTGGACAAAGGTTACGTATTGTACACTTTTGAAAAGAATGATATCTATAAAAAAAAATCAGATCTATGAAAAGTTACTTTTAGTAGCAACAGACAGATATCATAAAGAGATACCAGCAGCCACTCTAAATGCAGCAACATTCCCAAGTCTGTGCAGACCGGTGCCTACCAGTCTTGGGTGGATGACGGCTGATTCCCAGGGAACTTGAGAGGGTCACTCCTCGCAAGAGCAGAGTCCACACCTAGTGATGGGCAAGTGACTGCCCATACTTGGGCCCAAGGTTGAGTGTGTGGCTCAGACAGAACAACTGTGTATATGTGTGTGTTTTGGGGGAGGTCTTATTTTTAAGCAACTTAAGAAGGATCTGCTGACAAATTTTCTCCTTAGAATTCACAGTTTACAATGTAGCTAAGCTTTCTAAACTTGCATCTAAAACAAGGATTGAGCAAAAAGCTGACTTTGATATGATCAGGTCAAATGGTTTTTTAAGAGGAAGATAAGAAAAATAAGAAGTATTAGAAAACAAACTCACAGATAAAAAAATGTTGGACAGGTCATCTACAAAGCCATGTGTTAAGAGGAACCAAAGAAAAACTGGGGTAATTATACAAGTTTTTACAACGTACAGATCAGGAAAAAGAAATCCTTCCAAAACTTACTCTTAGCACTGAATTTGTTTTCTTTTCGAGTTCTGCCAGTTTTCTTCAAGCAGTTGTCACATACAAATCTGCAAAAACATAATGGGTGTGATTAGATTATACAAAACAGTGTATGTTGCCAAACTAGTGAAATGCAGCATTAAAATACGTTGTTGGCTGTTTAAATTGCATCATTATACAGAACTGAAGAGGCAGACTGCTTTGATTCTATAATTCCTAAAGCAGGCAAACACTTAAGACTTAAAACTTAGAATTAACTGCCATCTATCGTAATTGCTGAATTCTTGCTGACAACAATGAATGAAATGCAGCAGCAGCATCAGGGGCCCTCCCCTCCACTCTGTGCAAAACTGCTTTTCTTTTCCCAAGATCACAGGAAATTACTCACCCTGACGGCCAAATGATATCATAGTGTAAAACACAAATTTGATGCATTTTCCGGCCACACTCCTTGCAATCAACAAAACTGGAAGACAAAGAAAGCACACTGAATACACAGGGAACCACAAAATAGAGGGGTCTTTAGGAGCTTGTGTACTATGTTCTCTTGTCCTCTTGATTACTTTGAGCATCTAGTATTAATACATCTGTTGATTGACTCAGTCATATTTTAAAAATGCACCAGTATATTTTCTGTGGGAAAAGTTCGAACCCTTCTTTGTACAAATGCCTCATTCCTCTCTTCTCCCAATCTCCTTTGCAACTAGGAATGAACCTTTACTTTTAAAAAGTGCTATGATAAAGGCACATTTTATGGGCCAGTATTTCTGACAGTACTATACATCTTAAAGACCAACACTTGCTCTAGGTAAGTGCACATGCCTAAACTGACTTAAGTAATAGAGAACAATACTTTCAATATTATAAACATTTATTCTTAGGCCCAGGCACAGGAAGTGTCTGTTCTGAGATAGTCACAAAGGTGGGAAGTTCCAAACTGACTAGTAAATGACAGTCCTTATTCAAGTAAACACTGGAGAGCAAGGGGACGCACCGAGCCACTTGCCCTCACTGCAGACCCCGCTCAAGCTCACCTGGAAATCTTAACTGCAACATACTTGAAGGTCAAAACCTATATTTTAGCCACCCCCTTAGCATCATCACAACTTACAGCTGGTGGAAATCTTAAGTGGCAAGAAAGTGGGTTCAGGCTCTTCCCATCAGTCTGACGCTGAGCCCTATTACCTGATACACGATCAAGTCCCTGATCTTCCCACTGTCCTTGCTGAGCAAGGCTTCAACCACAAATCAAGCCTTACCCAGCTTCTCATTCCTGATCTACTGGAGGAAAAGACAAATGAAAAACTGCGCAAAACCGCAGCACCATTCAATGGCAATCCCATGCTGTGTTGCTCCCCCCATTCTATCTGGTGTTGTTCTGAACCTTCACTCCCTCCTCAAGTGCCGCATCACTGTCAACAAGTCCCTTCGCTGAAATTTCAACAGTTGAGCTCAGCCCTGGGTTAAGAATTTAAAAGGTCAACAGGTAACAACTCCCTCAGTTTCTGTGCCTGCTCCAAAGACACCCTATTCTCAACCCTTCTCCCTCCTATGTCAGGGAAGAGGAATGTAAAAAAAATAGGGTATTTGTTCTAGACCCCATTTTATCAATTTTGAATTTCAATCTCTCTCCCCTTCTAACTATTATTAACCAAATGGTTTACTCCCTCCTACATTTTTATTCATGCATTTACCTAAGCCACCACTTAGACTGGACCTTTCCTCACCCTGCAGTGTGGTCTCTTCCACCAGAAGGCTGTTCAGGTCGGCCTTCCAACTCCTGCCTAAGCTGCTCCTCTGAGTCTCCTAACTAGTTCCCCTACTAGGGAGCAAAAGTCTTCCTCTCCATTGAATCTATCTCACAAATCCAGCATGATCTTTCTGTAACAGAAGCCAATGATGTCCCTCCAAACCTCCTTAGCACATCCAGGAGGAAACCTACAGGACAAAGAACTGTGTAAGGGGCCCTGCACCTAGTGCCTCTCCTTCACATCTCACGGGGCTCCATCCACATGCTCTACCTACCAACCACTTGAGCCTACCTATGTTGTTGCTGAACATCCTATGTTCTTTTATTCCTTTGTGTATAGAATATTTTTCCGATTTCTCAACACCTGATTCCAGCAATGCCATCATGCCCAGGAACAGGGCCCCTCACCTTTGGACCACCTTACTACCTCCTGCTATCTGTGCTATGATCCATCTGTCTCTTGTACTGACGGACAGAGCCCCCGCCTAGTAATGACTATTCCAATGTAATGTATTTTGAAGTTAAAAATGAATATAAATCATAGTGAAACTAAAAAACTGAAGGGGAGGGCATAATGTGAACAGGGAGCTGGACAATTAAGACAAATAATCGACTGGTCATTAATGATCTGGGGAGGCACTTCCTCATGCACCAGGCACTATGCGCAGGCTGGAGTTCTTGTATTCAACGTGTACCCAGCCTGGGCACTACTAGTCGGAGAGACTGAGTAAGCGCTCAACGTAAAGTTAGGTTTCAATATGAGGTCTGGGTGGAAAGTCCGTGTCTTCCACTGCAGCAACAGGCCTCATTAAAGCTAGGGGTTTGAGCCAAGAGAGGGGAGGACCTGTTTCTCAGTTCTGGAGGTACTATAGCCACATTTACCAAACATCGAATGGCGCTGGAGCCTGTGCTCTCTAAGCAGCTCTGAAAGTGCATTCGGCACAATGGTAGAACACAATGGGCCTCTCCACACGCTGGGGTGGTCTTAGGACTCGGCTTTGGGGACCTGAAGGGGTCATCACATTGAAGGAGTTCTGAAGCCTCTTTAGGGGCCATCACAGAGCAAACTTTGCAAACACAGCATTCTTACTGAGCACTGGAGGAAAGTCAAATATTTGACAATGGCCTTTGAAAATATACCATACCAAAGACAGTGGCAAGAATATACACCAGGCTTCCCAATTATTATTTTTAAAAAGTGGTTTCTAAGAGGTTTTCTTTCTAAAATTGCCCTTTAAATGATACTAGCACTACTCTACCAAATAGTTCTACCTTTGATTTTCTAAAGATTCACACTAAATGGCTTCTTAAAAACACGAATGACCAATTTATTAGAGAGGTTCTAATGGAACGAACATCCACCTAAATTTGGATTTTGAAATTTGGAATTTGTTAAAATTCAGTACCTAAGGAGCATATTACAGAGACATACATATTTAGTGTGAGTTAAAGAAGGATTCATATATGAAATAACTTCACACAATAAAATTCCACCCAGATAAGGGCACATATGTAATACCTTAATCAATAAAGAAATTAAAAAAAAAAATTCACCCAGAGCAATGCATTTCCAATGTTTTCTCCCACAACTCAATCATAAGGAGGAACTGTTCTTGACCTGAAACTAAAATCTAAAAGAAAGAAATAGCTATATACTCACGGTTCAGGATCTAAGGTATCATTTTTCTTCTTTTCAAACTGATCCTTTGAAATCGTCCTTGTTTAAAAAAAAAAGAAAACAGAAGTTAATTAACTTACATTGATCTGTTAAGTATAAACTATAGTTTCTGGAATATTATTTTGCAACTAGTTCTTCAAACGGAAAATAATAGCTAAAATCTCAAGTAGATGCAATGATGGCATGAACATATAAAACTCAATTCTACAGCCCTAACTGGTTTGGCTCAGTGGATAGAGCGTTGGCCTGTGGACTCAAGGGTCCCAGGTTCGATTCTGGTCAAGGGCATGTACCTTGGTTGTGGGCACATACCCAGTAGGGAGTGTGCAGGAGGCAGCTGATCGATGTTTCTCTCTCATTGATGTTTCTCTCTCTCTCACTTCCTCTCTGTAAAAAAATCAATAAAATATATTTAAAAACAAAAACAAAACAAAAAAAAAACTCAACTCTGCAGAAAGCACCACCATTTAATTTTCTCTGTTTTTCTCAGAACATTTCTCCTAACTAGCATCAGCAGTAATTACAAGATTTAACTAAGACTAGTCAAAATATGATGGCAAAATTTTGTTTCAAACTTGTTAATTTTCCATCAAATCTATACAGTGACTGGCTATTAAATTTAACTGATACTGGTATAACCAATTTTTGTTTTAAACTGATTTTTAGAGAAGAGGGAGAGGGAGAAAGAGAGAGAAACATCTATTTGTTGCCTCCCCTACGTGCCCTGACCGGGAATCAAACCTGTAACCTTTTTGGTGTACAGGACAATGCTCCAACAAACGGAGCCACCTGGCCAGGACATAACCAATTCTTTTAATTATAACATTCCCTCAATGACAGAAAGTCAGCATCTACATGGGGATATTTTACTTTTAAAGGGCTGAGTATATGGTCTCTACTGTCCTTTTGTTACAATAAGTGTATATATGTGAATGACTTCTGATTCACATATTTATACAATCCAATTATTAATCATGTAATAGGACCAAAAGATTAAGATGACAAGGGAGAGAAAAATAAATTGAATAGGTAGAATATCTGTCATTTTGATTTTTAAGTGGCCATGGTTTATTTTGCATTTGAATAAAGTAGCCTTGAGTTGCAGGGTAAGTGTCCTACACTGCTGGAAACTGCGTTAGTGTGAAGCCGTTGCCTGTGGGGGGACATCACACTCGAAGACTAGCCAGCGTGGCTGGAATCATGGCAGAGTCCAGAGAAAAAAGAGAACCACAGAACACTGGCAGTCCTGGGCAGACATGGTGGCTGGCAGAGTTTTAGGTTTCTCCAGCATATAAATGAGCTGACCACAGAGAACAGGCATTGGGACCAAAAGATGGACTCAGTGAAGGAATGAAAGGGCCAACTCAGGTTTGTCTGAATTGGACCTAGTGAGCAAGAGGCAAGTCTCCAGCAAAGAAGGAGACATTTACACTCTGGGAGCTCATTATCTGTGTTATATTAGCTTCACAACTTAAAGGATGAAAGTAGGTACATGAAACTCATTTTTTGCTACTGCAGTCTGTGGATAGGGTTATTTGGTTTCTTTAGGTGTATTGAAAATTTGTAATTTCCAAAAATGGAGGGTGATAGCCACTAGGAAAAGCCAAGTGTTTTAAAAGAAGAACTGGAGCAAGGTTGAGAGAGACCTGTGAACTGCACGGTGTGGCTCTGAACACCACAGTGCTGAATGGAGGGAAGAACATGGAAGTGTCACTGGTGTTCAGCTCAAACAGCTACATGTTCAAGTATGAATGTGAGCATAATTAATATGAGAAAATACACTACACACAAGTCAAAACAGCAGTGGTGCTTCCCTTTTGCTCATGGACAAGAGACAAAAACAATTAAGAGTCACTCCCGTGAAAAATGACAGGATAGTACTTACGTCTGGGGTTGTGAAGGGTCGTCACCAAGGGTAACATTCTCCCCCTGGATCTCTGTGAAACACTTCTCACAAAAATGATACCTGTCAGCAAGAAGGCCATACTTGGGTGAACTGGTCCATCATAACACACAGCCACCCAAGCAACGAAGCCACCAATCAGAGCAGGGCAGATCACCACGACGAAGGGGGGGCGTTGTTGGTTGATTGATGGGTCAGTGAGAACAATGAGAGGAACAGGGGCAGGTTGGGAAGGGCAGGATTAGAGAACAGGGAAGGGAACAAATAGCACAGACGTAGAGGTAAGACGCAAACACCAAGACAACACAGAGCAGAAAGCCAAGGCAAAGCATTGATTAGCATTCGGTCTCATTGCACACATCACAGGCCACATCACTAACAATGACTGGGCTTGGTTCAGCTCCAAGATGCAAATGTTTGCAAGGAGTTGTTAATACTAGAATTGTAAGGAGCTTAAAATTTAGAAGTTTGAATTTTGTATTAGAAAAAAATCAAATACAATTTCAGGGTTTGAGATGGAAAAAATTTACTTTGAACAAAACAGTCTGACAAAAGGCCTTGAAAAAGCAATTTAAACTGAAAATGCTTTTTTTTCCCAAAATGGAAAATTTATGCTTGACAGAAATTCAGAGATTTTTATTTCTGGTTTTTAAGCCAGATCTTTAAAGGTATAAAAATGTTCAGCACTCAAAACTGGTTTTAATTTTTTTCCTGTCTTTTTTCTCATGTTAATCACTTAATTGGGTTATAATACAAATGAAACCAAATCCATTTTCTAGACAAACATTTAACAGAAATGCAATAGGGGTCAAAGACTTTCCAGCCATTTATCAATAAGAATATACAGAGAAAAAACTGTGATATATTGTATAAACAATACAATATATATAAATCCACAAACAATGTTAAAGACTTTTAAAATTCAACTCTAAGCTTTAACTTAAACTTTTTGGTACTGGGACCAATCATTCATCAATCTGAGATACTCAGTGATTGACTGCTCTACTTGGTGACAATCCAAGTTAAGCAAATTTAGAGAGTTAAATCTTTAAAGCACAATCTGCATTTGAGAAATTATCCATAACCCAAATTTCTTGTAAGATAATACAGAGCTCAGCTCAAGCTATCAAATAAGAATAATTAAAATAAAAACTATTAAATGTTTGGAAAGGACATGAATGAGAAATCAACAAAAATGCAGGCTGATGCTGCATAAAACAAGATGGGCACACAATACCGTAATAAAAACAACAACAAGCTGAATGAATGTGACTTATACAAGCAAAAAGGATGAGCATAGGGTAGCAACAGCAGCACAATAAAATGCGGTTTTAGTGCTCAAAACTATGTCTACAAGATGCCAAGAGGATTAGTGTTAAAGACACTATGACGAGAGTTGGAGTGCCACACTGAACCAAGAGCACAGCAGGAGATGCAGCAGCTTGCAGTTTCACACGCGCGTGCGCACGCGCACACACACACAGCTACAAACAACTGAGAGTTAGACAACACCTGGCCAGTTTGTCTTCATTACTAAAATAGGTCCTCCACAAGTTCTAATTCTAACCTAAATTAAATACATTGACATTTTGTCTGCTATGTTTCACTGGCTAAATACATATAGTAAATTAAAGGCATAAAACTTGAGAGCATGCACACACCCCAAGATTACACAATTTTTCAGTATGTTGATGAGGAACATGACAGATTCCCTGTGGGTAACAACTGGATTAATGAAAGTTTCTTGCTGGGACCTGTTTATTTAGGACTAAGTCAATTAATGAATTCTGCCAAGATTAAAACTCTGACCAGAAACAGATTAACATTGCTGTTTTAAAATATATACAGGGGTGGGCAAAAGTAGGTCTACAGTTGTAAGTACACAAAACACAATGTTTATTATTGTATATGTATTTATTAATTATTGTATTATTTGTCTTATTATTATTATTTCGTATCCTCACCTATGATTTATTTTTTAGGTAACAATGGCTGGTCATTTAAATGCCTACTTTTGCCCATACCTGTATATTATATATATATATTTTTTTTCCTGAATGAACTTCAACAATATTCTGGCTACTCACTATTTTGTTAATATTCCCATGGAGCCTTGAAATCATGTAGTGAAAGAATTTTTATGTGCAGGAGGACATGATCATCACTTGGTGGAAAGAATGAAAGTGGAGAAACTATAAACCAACTCAGTGGCAACCATTACAATAGGCAAAAAAGATATCCCCTCCTTGCAAAATATTTCCCTTTTGAAAATATAACTAGAAATTGAGTGTTCCAATCCATTTTACGATTAACACACAGCCCTTGTGGACTAACGAGAAGGTAACTTTGAACACATTTTGAAATGAAATTGCCGCAATAATTACATGTGAGCCTAAATGATTTTAAACCCTGGACAAATTCTTAGCTTTTGTTCAAGCAGGACATCAAGTCCAGCAACATTCAGGAAACAAGAATCATAAACCCATTATTTTCCAACGAAGGAAACTGGCCTGAGACAAATCATTGATGGCTAAGTGGCTGCAGAAACCTATGCTCTATGAGTAACTAACTACCATCCCTGAAAAATTTTAAGGATCAGTAACTGGGAGAGACAGAATTAACTCACGCTAGTGCCTGTCCCAAAGCAATGCCAGGGATGTCGGAAAATCAAACCTGTTGAGGTTTTAGAGGAGAGATGGAGGGGCCCAGGGACTCACTCTAATACCCTCTGAGAAATGCCCACAGCCCACAGAAGGAGCATAGGCACCCATCTAGTCAAATCAGATACAACCACCTGGCAATCAGTGGGTGAAAATATCTTATCTAGTCCAAACTTTATTCACCCGGAAATATAAAACAATTCAGAAATTCACTTTTCATTTTAACAGCCTAGCTGACATTCTGCCTTGTGTGAAGGAAGCAGTTTGATGAACATGGAATTATAAAGGAGAAATACTTCACATAATCTGATGATGATGTACATCTGGGTACCTAACATTAGCACAATGTAACTGTACAGTTTATCTGTAAGGATAATTAAATATATGGAGTAAATTTTCAAATGCAGATTGTTTTAAGTACCATATCAATATATACAAATAACTGGGCTATCTATAGATAATATCTATCTTACCTATAGATAATAATTGGAAAATCTATAGAACAGTTTCCCCAACATGAGTTTCTTTCAAATTTTTAAAGTATGGAAACAGGTGAAATGTAACCACACTCTAGTTTATATGTTAGTTTCACTTGTTTAAATGGTCTCTAGGATTTTCTATTGTTTTAGTGCCCAAACAATTTTTAAGTGTCAAAACAATAATTCATAAAAACAGCACAGTGCTCATAGTCAAAGTTGAGAGTAAAAATGTAAGCAGTTAAAATGTCCAACACAGAATTAGGCCACTGCTTCCTTAGAATTACATGCTATCCTCTTTAAGGTCATTATTCTAGAAAGAACATCTTATGAGATTAAGCTGAGAAGTAGTATTCCTACACTTATATAGAAATACAATTGGACATTTCAAAACTTTCAAAACAGTCCTGTTTGCACTCACTCCATCAATAACCTCTTTCAGTGGGTAAGCAGTGTACCCTGATGCTATCAAATTAGGAACTTATTTGCTCTCAACTTAAATATGGCCAAAATCTGTGCAAATTAGCAAAGATAGGGTCTCAAAGGACTCAGGCACAATGAAACCAATAATGAAAAGGTCCCAAAACTTCAGAGATGGTAGCAAGCAATCTGTTGTCTTTCCTTCTTTCTATACCCAAAGTGGCACCTAGCAGCAAGGGTGTTTTTCAGGATATAGTTAATTTTAACCTATTCTCTTAAAAGTTCATAATTTTATTTTGCTTGGCATGTAACAATTTCCAAAGTGAATTCCTAGTCATTATTTCATTAGAGACTGATAACTGAGACCGTCAGGGAAGTTGTTACTGTGCCCATATCACAAACAAGAAGGTTAAGTTTGATATATATATATATATACATTATGGGATGTGCTGAAGATTACTAAGCTAAGATTGTAAATGGATGGACCAGAACTTCCATAACACTTGTCAGTATGGGAGAGATTCCATTAAAAAAGGGCTATGTATCATTTCAAACTTTGTCTTAAAATACTTCTATTGATAGAAGAGCAAGCTAAGACAGAAATTAAATTCCAAAAAGTGAGCTAGGCTTAGAAACTTTTATTGGAAACATTTTTAGGTCAAAAGTTTTTTAAAGTAGAATTTTGATGAAAGTCATTAATAATATTGAATATGGTTATATATATATATTTAAAATTAAAATAATTTAAAAACATAAATTGGAAGAAAAATAATCCCCAAATTCCAAATTATTCAGTCTGTGCATGTACCCCTAAACAAATAACAAAAACCTCTCTACGTATCTTCTTCAAAATATTAGAACATAAGTGATTACTAAGCAAATAAGATCAAAATAATGAAGACATCACAAGTCCTAATGTTGACATTTAATAATAGTCATCTTTTAATAGGAAAGTTTTTCTTGAACTCAATAAAAACACTAAATCTCATTCTGTACTGTGCAACTAATTAAAAACAAAAAGTCTATGGTTTTATTTTTTCCAATCAATTAGCACTAATGCAAGTCTTTCCATCAGACTGTCCAGGCCAAATTATCTAGACAAATATTTACACAGGAATAGTAAAAGCAATGTTTCAACTTTATTAGTATCTTGAAAAAGGCAGGTCAATCTTTGAGTTATTCTCAACTCCAGACTCTTTCTTATATGGTTTTACTTTGTAGAATCTAGATCAGTGATGACGAACCTATGACATGCGTGTCAGAGGTGACACGCCAATTCATTTTTTTTGGTTGATTTTTCTTTGTTAAATGGCATTTAAATATGTAAAATAAATATTAGAAATATAAATCTTTGTTTTACTATGGTTGCAAATATCAAAAAATTTCTATATGTGACACGGCACCAGAGTTAAGTTAGGGTTTTTCAAAATGCTGACACGCCAAGCTCAAAAGGTTCACCATCACTGATCTAGACCATGATTCAAGAAAGAATGTACCTGATCCAGGTAGTGCAGCAAGCAACTGCGAGATCAAGTTTTTATACTATAAAAGCATTCCTTAAAATTAAGAGACTGTGAATCTATCTGAGTGACCAAGATATACTGAAATTGTGGCCCCTTTCATTGGAACTTCAGGAAAGATAATGTATCTGAGCTATAAACAGACAAACATGCGATGCCCTAAGACCTTTGTTCTGTAGATCAGGAAGCTGCTCAATGCTTACCTATTCTGATAGCTGTAGTAGGCTGCATCTCGAGGAATTGTACACAGTTGCTTCCCATAGCAGCACAAAGTCTGTGGGGAAAACTCATACTGCAAAAACAAAGGAGAAAATACTAAAAATATAATCTATTTATTGTCATGCAAAGTTCTAGTCAACTATGGAGGGTCAGATTCAACTAGTAAATTACTTCTGTTAGTACACTGGATAGTTTCCTAACAATTTTCACAGCTATTTAAAGATATTTTTTGATACAATGTAAAATAATTAGTGTTTAAGAGACATATATTATAGCCCTAGCTGGTTTGGTTCAGTGGATACCGCATCAGCCTGTGGATTGAAAGGTCCCAGGTTCGATTCTAGTCAAGGGCACATGCCTGGGTTGCTGGCTTGATCCCCAGTAGGGGCCATGCAGTAGGCAGCCAATCAATGATTCTCTCTCATCATTGATGTTTCTCTCTCTCCCCCCTCTCCCTTCCTCTCTGAAATCAATATATATATATATATAAATCGCCCTAACCGGTTTGGCTCAGTGGATAGAGCGTTGGCCTGTGGACTCAAGGGTCCCAGGTTCGATTCTGGTCAAGGGCATGTATCTTGGTTGTGGGCACATACCCAGTAGGGAGTGTGCAGGAGGCAGCTGATTGATGTTTCTCTCCCATCGATGTTTCTATCTCTCTCTCTCCCTTCCTCTCTGTAAAAAATCAATAAAATACATTTTAAAAAAATGAATAAATGAGTGCATTGGAATAACAAACCAATGCCTCCCTCTCCCTTTCTCTCTCTAAAATTAATAAATAATAAAAAAGAAGACATATGTTATTGATACTGAATGCACACAGGGGCAGCCAGAAATGCTTAACCTAAGGCCTTCCCCCCAAAGCACCTCTAGCTTCGATCATCCATTATATTGCTCTGAGTAATCAATTGTTTTATTCCATCTGGGTAACTTCCCAGCAAACATGCGTGGCCAAAATGCTGAGTCTACCATAACATTATACTGTTGGACTAACTGGGAAAGTCCATTGTCCAGAAAACAGTTTAAACTGTACCTTGCGTCCACAACAATATCCAAGGGACTGCATAACAGGGTCAATTTCTTGTTCAAAGACCTCTGCCAGTTTACTGCAAAACTTATAGACCCGAGACGTCTTGCGATTGTAGAGCCAGGCATTGTTGAACATCAGCCAGACATCATCCACGTACTGCCAGGGTTCCTGGTACTGCCCTGTGTCTAACTTTCGCTTGATGGTGGAAAGGTCCATGGGGTTCTTCACAATGTCAAAGTAATCCTTAAAGACAAAATGGTCTTTATCTAGTAGATACCCCAAATTCCAAATGCCAGTCTTATCTTAAAATAAAATAGAAAGTACCAGAACAACTTCTGTTTCCAACATGAAGAAATGAGAACTGAAAATAAAATAACCTCTGATCTTCCTCTGATTTTACTATCTAAAATTAACATTTTCAAATGTGATCAAATTCCTTCAAAGGCAAAGTTAAAGAAAAAAAAAATTTAAAAGAACTGTTTACTAAAAGATGCTGTTTAGCCCTGGCCGGTGGCTCAGGTGACTAGAGCATCATCCCATACACTAAAAGGTTAAGGGCTCGATCCCTGGGAGGCAACTGATTGATGTTTCTCTCTCCCTAAGAATCAATAAAAACATGTCCTCAGGCCCTAACCAGTTTGGCTCAGTGGATAGAGTGTCGACCTGTGGACTGAAGGGTCCCAGGTTCGATTCCAGTCAAGGGCATGTACCTTGATTGTGGGCACATCCCCAGTAGGGGATGTGCAGGAGGCAGCTGAATCGATGTCTCTCTCATCGATGTTTCAAACTCTCTATCTCTCTCCCTTCCTCTGTAAAAAAATCAATAAAACCTATATTTAAAACAAACAAACAAACAAAAAAATGTGCTCAGGTGAGGATCAAAAAAAAGAAGTTCTGTTTAAAATTTTAAAAATAAGAATTACAATGGTAAGAAAATTTATCAGACAATATGTTTTTCTACAGATTCACTCTTGGTCCTACCAAGCAAAATGAAATTCCAAGATAAACATGAAAACTGAAAACAAAAATAGTAACACTGCTTAAAAGAATCTGTTGGGCCCTAGCTGGTTTGGCTGGGTGAATAGAGCATCAGCCTGTGGACTGAAGGGTCCCAGGTTCGATTCCGATCAAGGGCATGTACCTTGGCAGCTGATCGATGTCTCTCTCACTGACGTTTCAAACTATCTCTCTCCCTTCCTCTCTATAAAAAATCAAATAAAGAATCTGTTGGGTCACCATGGCCTCTGCCATGGGATATCAAAGTGAGAGGCCCATGTGTTTTATAATTGACTAGAGGCCTGGTGCACAAAATTCATGCACTTGGGGGGTGGTTCACTAAGCCTGGCCTGCATCCTCTCACAGTCCAGAAGCCCTAGGGGATGTCTGATTGACAGCTTAGGCCCAGGGAGCAGACATCCTTAGCACTGCCGCAGAGGCAGGAGAGGCTCCTGCCACCGCCACTGTGCTTGCCAGCCATGAGCCGAGCTCAGGGCTTCTGGCTGAGCAGTGCTCCCCCTGTGGGAGTGCATTGACCACCAGGGGGCAGCTCCTGCATTGAGCGTCTGCCCCCTGGTGGTCAGTGCACATCACAGCGACCAGTTGTTCCACTGTTTGGTTGATTTGCACATTAGCCTTTTATTATATAGGATGTTCACCAATTCTTTAAGTTCATTTTTTAGACAAAGTCTTACATAAAACCCCAAATATAAAGTGAGTTGCCAGAGGCTGTGAACCTGAGCAAGTGGGTGGTGCTCCCAGTGCACAGTCCCCTCTCACACACCCTAACCTTTCCATGGACCCTGTGGCTTCACAAAACAGGTGGGAAACACATTTTAGTAAGAAGGTGCATTACTGTTTTGGCAGCAAACTTTTTTAATATTTTGAGAAAAATCTACAAAACAAGGTTGTTATTTTACCCAATTTTAAGAAATAAAACGTGGATAATCATGAGTTACACTGGTAAAATTATAATATATTTTTACAATATGAACTTACAGGAATTCCAAGGAGCTGGGGATCTACAGGCTGGCGAAAAGGTAAGGACTCTGGATCCTGTCGATATAGCGCTTCTAGGGTTGGCATAAGAGCCTGGCGCAATTCCTCCGGCTTAAAGACTGTAGTTGGAAAGCATAAGAAAAATAACACTATTTACAAGGCACCCAAACCCCTCCTTTATGACACTTCAAATGAAAGCCTGGCCGTTTCTGAGAAGGTTTGAGTCATCTCCCTCCCAGTTGAAGCTTACTAGGGCTCTCATTCAGCAGAGTCCACAGACATTCTAAATTCTAAAGCTACAAATCCAGGGTTTCTGAAATAATAATAATAATATTGGGGTTTCCAAAAACTGCATACATGTCCTGAGGCATAATACCATACTAAGTTTGCTCTTCACTGAGAAATTTCAACATTAAAACTGTTGGAACAGAAAATGAAGCTCACTCCCAATTCTGCTTCATTGATCAAATGGTGGAAGGGACCTTTTTGCCTAAAAGTAAACTCAGACCACCTGAGACAAATGGTTTTGTATTACAACCTCACAAATATACACAGTAACAGAGCTATAAAAGTAAGTATTTCCCCCCCAAATTCTATACTTCCTTCCCACATTTACCAATGCCCATTTCTCCAACCTCTCAGCTATGGCATTTCCTGCTATATTTTCTGTTGTCCCAATCCAAGGACAGAGAGTGGCTGCCAGATACATTCAAGATGATACATTCACATGAAACCCAAATGAGTTCTAATGACATGGAGAAATGTGCACAATAGCCTCTGAAGGCAAGCAGCAGGTCAGGCAGCAGTGAGTGTGTTACAACCCCACCTTGCTCACACACATCCTATGCATAGAAAACTGACCAATAAGAGGCAAATACGTCAGAGGAGTTCTGATGACTTGGGTTATAAGTGATAATATATTTTTTCTCTCTCTTTTTTTAATATTTTAAGAAGACTTTCTAGAACTGACATGTGGTAAACTCTAATTTAAAAATCAGATTAACATACCATAAACATATAAAGTCCTAGTTGGGAAGTGGCATACATCGAGTATACTGAGAGATGAAAATCATGGCTCTGAGAAGTTTCCCGAAGTTTATTGCCATCAGAGAAAGGGACTGCCCATGTGTCCTGACTGACCTCCTGTGGAAAAGGAACACCTGGCTGCTTTAGACCTGGGACAGCTGCTGGAGATCAGCGAGCATATGGATTATCCCAGCTCAGCGCTCTCCAGCGAACATTCCCATTGGAAACATGGCATCCTGCTCTCAGCGAACTCCTTTCTTCTATTCTGTTTTCTTTTAATAACTTTCTAAGAAAGTATTTCTTAAGTTAATCAAGAGGCTTATCCCATTCTTCTAAACTAGAGGTCAGCAAACTAGACTAGAGGTCAGCAAACTCTGACCCATTGGCCAAATCTGAAGGCCTGTGAGCTAAGAATAATTTTTGTTTTTAATGGTTGGGGAAGAAAAAGAAAAATATTTCCTGATACGTAAAAATTTACAACATCAAATTGTAGTCTCCAAATTAAAAATTTATTAGAACACAAGTGTGCTGATTTGCTGAGATGTTGTCTCATCAAACAACATTTGTATCCTACAAACTAGCTGCGTAGCTGCAACAGAGACCTTATGACACACAAAACCTAAAATATTTATTGCCTGGCTCTTTACAGGAAAAGTTTGCTGACCCTGCTCCAGACCTCATCTCCCTATAGGTAACAGAATGACATGGCTTACATACAGCTGATTTTGGTATACAGCTGCCTTCACCACACATTTGTTTACCACTTAAGCAGAGGAAAAGTATTTTCAAATTAGTGTCTTTATTTGAAATAAGTTCTCTGCTACTAGAGTATGGTGTGCTTTGTCCATACAATCAGCAGGGTGTACCACATCAGTAATCCTCGAAGCATGGACCATGGGTACCATGAAGAGCGCTGTGCTAATATGGGAGCTGCCAGCCATATGTGGCTACTTAAAGCTAAATGAATTAAAATTAAATAAAATTTAAAATTCAATTCTTTAGTCACACTTGTCACTTCTTAAGTACTCAAGAGCTGCATTTGGCTGGTGAACATCGTAATGGAGAGCAGAGAAAGTTCCAGCACTGTTTTAGGCCTTTCTAGGGGTCTGTGAAATCAAATTTATTTATGTAATATAAAACAATTTGCATAATAACACTAAGTTGTTATTTGCCTTTTATGTCGTGTTAACCTTCACACAGATGGGGCACTAACAGGGGGGAGTAAAATTTCTAGCATGGCAGCAACCTCACCAAATCTGACTTAGTAGTCACTATGATCTTTGCTGCCACTGTGCACGCACGGAAAAATGCCAGCTGCACTTAAGAATATTCTTGCTGAAGCAGTTAAAATTATTACTTTCGTTAAACCTCAACCCTTGGCTACACGTCTTTTATCCTATATGAAAAAAACAAACAAACGGGAAGTTGGTATAAGGCACTTCTACTGCATGCAATGCTTGTCTTGAGAGAAAGCACTTGTACGAGTATTGAGAGCTGAAGTCACTGCTTCTTTTTTTAATGAAACACATAAAACTGGAATGACTGATAGACAAGCTACAGTTATTCAGAAGTGGGTATGTGGCAGACATTTTCTCAAAAATGAGCAAAGTGGGAGTTATTTCAAGGACAACTGATTGTATTTTTTGCCAAAGATAAAATCTGGACTCTCATAAAAAAGTAGAATTTTGAAAAATTTGTATCTACCACATGAGCTTGATATCTGCTTGAAATTTACAAAACTTTTTTGAGGAGATTCATAGTGATGTTAATGAATGTGATTTAAAAATTATTGTACAGTGAAGTATGCTAACATTAGTAAGATATGCATAATTCAGTGAACCAAATTCCTAGATGACCAAAGGATCATGTTATAAAGAAAATCATGAAAGGGCAAAGGATCAATTCAAAGCACAAAACAGACAAATGAACTCTAATGTCAGAGTTTGAAAAATTCAGTGCTAAAGATTCATATTTCACACTACAACTAATCTTTAAGAAACTTTGACTTGTTGAGTGTTGTAGCAGTATCAAAAAAGAAAATCACAATTCTTTAAAAAGGCTGTTATTCTTCCCTTTATCAACTATCCATCTGGAATGGGACCTCATGTACTTCAACCAAACAATGTAATACAACGAAGTACAAGCAGGGGCACACATGAGAATGCAGCTTTGTTCACTTTTGTCTTTGAGCCCCCCAAAATTGTAAATTGTAAAAAACAATGGCATTATACTAATTATTGTTTTTCATAAAATGTATTATTTATGGGTGTTATGTAATAGGTTTTTTTAAAATGAACTAAATATTTTCAAAATTCCAAACTGAGCCAACAGTGTTAATTTCTAATAGAGTAGATAGCAATAGATAATCCATACAGACAAAAACTCATTGGGGTCCTCAATTTTTAAAGTACAGAGATGTCTAAGACCAAAAATTTGAGAACTGCTGTACTCCATAATCTCCAGGGTCCCTTCTAGCAGCAAAACTGTACATCAATAGATGCTAACATTTCTCTGCCATCTTTCCCAAATGTAGCACCTGCAGGCCTGAACTTCTGAGCCCTGTCCTCACATTTCCAAGGGTCACCTGACAATTTTCTGACACCCTGCTACCTTCTTTACTTTTCAGATACCTCTCAAAGTGATTTTTAAAAATCGCATAAAAAAATAAAATAAAAATCACATCCATTGTGAGGCTGGCGCACCCGACACAGCTCAGAACCCAGGTATCTTCACTAATTTGCCCCCACCCACTCCTACTGCACTAGGTCACTGGGTCCCACTCCACCCACTTGTTACTTTGGGCACTTATCTGTAGCAGCAAAAACCTACAGGTTCCTACATGTGTGCTGCCATGGTGATATTTTCCCCAATACCATGGCTTTCGGTCATTTTCCTGCTTGAATCCGTCAGCGGTTGTTCATGCCTTGCCGAGTGAAGCCCAAGATCCTTGGCCTGCTCAAGGACTCAGGTGCAATTTGAACTCCAGTCCCACAGCCAGGACATCTCAGAAGACAGCTGTGCGCCCCTGAACTGCCCCCTAGAGCCAAGGCTTGTTTCTTATTATGCCATGAACCTGTGGATTCTTAGGGAGGAGTCCAGCTTGGTGTCATTACTTCAACTTGGAGAATAGCAGGCAAAACAGATAAAAGGGAGATGAAATTCTATTTCTGCTTTAGCTTTTAATCCATAATGTAGAATCACAACACAATGGCAAAGCAGCACAGTTCAGTAAGTTCAAGAAAACACAACTTACTTTTTTTCCGTGGCTGCGAAGGAGATGCTGACTGGGAAGTGGCACCATTAGCCGTGCTCTCTTCTTCCTCTTTAGCTTCTACTTTTACTTCCGGCTTCTTTTCATCCACTTCCATTGGTTCTGGTTTCTGCTCTGTTGTGTCTGATTCTTCTTTAACTTGAGAAGATCCTTGTAGATCTTCCTCCATCATCTTGAAAAAACAAAATTATAAATAATGATACATAGATATCAAAAACCTTTATTCTAACTCAGAGTTACTGGAAAGCTCTAAAAAATCTATGGGTTTGTTAAAACCTTCTCCTGGTCACAGATGCATTTATCATTCCTTTCTCTTGCACAAGAAGGAAGAGAGCATTTAGTGTCAAGTGAGTTGCTGTAAGATAGTACCAGTACAATTATGTACTAATTTTAAAATTTTATATGCTGCAATACTTAAAATATTGCATATATACATATCTACCATCACCCGCTCAGTAGTTTTACATATAGATTTTTCTTGGAAAATTGGGGCAGAGTTCAAAAGCTGAGCCAGCGTGACTCAGTGGTTGAGCATCAACCTGTGAACCAGGAGGTCACAGTTTGGTTCCTGGTTAGGCCACATGCCTGGGGTGCAGGCTTGATCCCCAGTGGGGACGTGCAGGAGGCAGGTGATAAGTGATTCTGTCTCATCACTGATGTTTCTCTCTCTCTCCCTCTCCCTTCCTCTCTAAAATCAATAAAAATATATTAAAAAAATAAATCAAAACACCAAATTGCTCAGAAGGCCAGGCAAGTAAAGTAATTGAATGCAACAAGGAGATGAGGTTGAGATAGCAGGAAGTTGTGGAGATCTGACAAACTGGAGCGTCCATGTCCCCTCTAAAGGCCATGCTGGTGCTCCCATCCAGACTGCTGCCAGAGAGGACTTCAAGAACAATACTGACAGAGCTTATCATTTTCAAGAAAATCCAAAAATCTACTTTAATTTATAATTTCCCACTTTTAAAAATATTGTGTGAGACAAACAACACTTTATATAGATTGGATTCAGCTCACAGTCTGCTAGTTTTCAACTTCTGCCACAGTTTAATGAGTAAACAAATAAACCCCTTGTGTATGTAACTCTGCGGACTATAAATGAATAAAGAATGGCAATGAAAAAGTTGCTGAATGATTCAAACATTTAAAATACAAACCTTTTTACCACTAAGTTTATTAGTTGTGGGCTTGTCATATATTGTCTTTATAATGTTGAGATATTCCTTCTAAATTTACTTTATTGAAGAGTTTATATCATAAAAGGATGTTAAATTTTGTCAAATGCCTTTTCTGAACTACTGAGATGATCATATGGTTTTTATCCTTTATTTTGTCACTGTGATGTATCACATTAACGAATGTTGAAGCATCCTTCCATCCCTGGGATAAATCCCACTTGATCATGGTGTATAGTCCTTTTAAGGTATTGTTGAATCAGGCTGGCTAAAATTTTGTTGAGAATTTTTGCATCTATGTTCAAGTATATTGGCCTGTAATTTCCTTTTTTTGTAATGTCTTTTTATCTGCTTTTGGTATCAGGGTAATACTGGCTTCATAAAATGAGTTTGGGAGTGTTCCTTCCTCTTCAATTAAAAAAAAAAAGTTTAAGAAGGATAGGTTTAATTCTTCTTTGAATGTTTGGTAGATGCCATCTGGTCCTGGATTTTTATTTAAGATCAGGAACAAGACAAGGATGCCCATTACCACGTCTTCTATTCAAAATTATGTGGGAAGTCCTAGCTACAGCAATCAGACAAGACAGAGAAATAAAAGGCATCCAAATTGTAAAATAAGTAAAACTCAACTATCCTATATAATAAAAGGCTAATATGCAAGTAGACCAAATGGTGGAACTGAACAAGCTATGATGTACACTGACGGGGGGGCGGGGGGGGGCATGGATGTGGAACATGGTAGGCATTGGCCACAGTGGGATGGTGGAGCAGGTGAGTGGGGGTGCCAGTTGCTGTCATTGGGGCAAGCCTCTGGTGTTTACTGAAAATTATTTGCTCCCACGCACTGTGGTCCTGCCTGGTGCGCTGGACTCGCTGCTTGCACCTGCTGCCGGCACCCAGCACCACCCCTGATTACTCAGCGGCGTCAGCGGGTGTGAGCTGCTGCTGCCAGCTACAATCTCCCCTCAGGGCTTCTCCATCTCCCCCTGTTCCTGAGGGGCAACTGGGGCCGGCAGCCACCTCTCGCACCCATGGCTGGCATCAGCCCCATTCACACCCATAGCTGGTGCTAGAGCCGCCGCTCACACCCACTGACGGCACTAGAAACAATTGCTCTGTACCATCGGCGGGTGCAAGCGATGGCTGCTGGCCCTGATAGCCCCTGAGGGCTTCTCCACCTCCCCCTGCTCTTGAGGGGCGATTGGGGCAACAGCCGCCACTCGCACCTGCTGATGGCGCTAGCCCTCACACCCACTGCTGGTGCCGGCCCCAATGGCTCTGTGCTGTCAAAGGGTGCGAGTCAGTACGTGGAAGAGGTGGGAGTGGGGCTGCTGGCAGGCAGGGGACCAGGGGCTGCTGAGGGAGGGGCTGGGCGGGGGCTCGGAGGATGGACTGAGACCCACCCCTGTGCCCACCGCCCACAGTTCCTTTCAAGGTGCACAAATTCGTGCACTGGGGCCCAGTTAGAACTAATAAATGACTTCAGTAAAGTTGTAGGACACAGAATAAATATGCAGAAATCTCTTCAGAATTCTATATAATAAAATAATGATCAGAAGAAGATATTAAGAAAACTATCTCATTTACAACAGCATTAAAATTATAAAACACCACCCTGGCCAGATAGCTTTGTTGGTTAGAGCAGTGGTCAGCAAACTCATTGGTCAAGAGAGCCGTAGGTACATTGTTATTAACTTAATTAGGGTACTCCTAAGGCTTAGGAAGAGCCACGCTCAAGGGGCCAAAGAGCCGCATGTGGCTCGCAAGCCGCAGTTTGCCGACCACGGGGTTAGAGCATTGTCCTATTACACCAAGGTTGAGGATTCAATCCCTGGTCAGGGCACATACAAGAAGCAAGCAATGAATGCATAAATAAGCAGAACAACAAAAAAAATCCATGTGTCTGTTTCTGTCTCCTTCTCACTCTCTAAAAATCAATAAATTAAAATAAAAATATTAAATATCTAGGAATAATTTTTAAAAAATATTTGTTGAAAGTATTACATATGTCTCCCTTTAACCCCCAATATCTAGGATTAAATTTACCCAAAGAGGTGAAAGACCTGTACTCTGAAAACTGTAAGACACCAAAGAAAGTAACAGAACAATACAAATAAATGGAAGGATATACCTTGCTCATAGACTGAAAGAATTGTGTTCAAATGTAGCATACAGATTCAGTGCAATCCCTATTAAAATACCAAAGACATTCTTCTCAGAATTAGAACAACTAATTCTAAAATGTATATGGAACCACAAAAGACCCCAAATGGCCAAAAAAATCTTGAGAAGAACACATCCTGATATCAAACTATATCACAAAGCTACAATAATCAAAACAGTGTAATACTGGCATTTAAAAACAGATCAGTGGAATAGAATAAAGATCCAGAAACCCCCACTTACATGGCCAATTAATCTGCGACAAAGGAGGCAAGGATACATAACGCGGTAAAGACAGTCTCTTCAGTGTGTGGCGAACTGGGCAGATAAATGCAACGAAATGAAATTGGACCACTTTCTTAGACCATACATAAAAATAAACCCAAAGTGATCAAAGACTTAAATGTTAGACCTGAAATTGGACCACTTTCTTATATCATATATAAAAATAAACTCAAAATGGATTAAAGACTTAAATGTTATACCTGAAACCATAAAAGTCCTAGAAGAAAACATAGGCAGTACACTCTTCGCCATAGATCTTAGCACTATCTTTTTGGATATATCTTCTCGAGCAAAGGGATACAAAAGAAAAAATAAGAAAAAACAAGTAATCCAGTTTAAAAATGGGAAGAGAACCTGAGTAGCCATTTCTCTAAAGAGGACAGACAGATGGCCAATAGACATGAAAAGATGCTCAACATCACTAATCGCTAGGAAAATGCACACTAAAACCACAATGAGATATCACTTCACACCTGTCAGATGGCTTCCATCAATAAATCAACAAATAACAAGTACTGGTGAGGATGTGGAGAAAAGGGAACCATTGTACACTGTTGGTAGGATTATAAATTAGTGTAGTCACTATGAGAAAGTGTGGAGCTTCCTCAAAAAAAAAAAAATTAACAATTAAAAATAGAGCTACCATACAATCCAACAATTCCACTTCTGGGTATTTATTTGAAGAAATTATAAACACTAATTTGAAAAAGTATATGCCCCTATATGTTCCCTGTAGAATTATTTACAAGAACTAAGATATGGAAGTAAACCAGATGTCCATCAACAGATAAATAAAGATGTGATATATATAATACGTGTTTTATACACACACACACACACACACACACACACACACACACACACACACACAAAAGAATGATATCTTGCCATTTCTGACAACATGGACAGACCTATAGGTTATTTGCTAAGTGAAATAAGCCAGACAAGGATAAATACAGTATCTCACTTATACATGAATCTAAAAAACGAAATAAATAAAAAAATAAAACAAAACACAAACTGACCCACAGATATAGAGAATAAGCTGACAGTTGGCAAAAGGGAGGGAGAAGGAGGATGAAGAGGGGAAGAATACACAGTATCTTTATTTATTTATTTACTTAAAATATTTTTATTGATTTCAGAAAGGAAGGGAGAGGGAGAGATAGAAACATCAATGATGAGAGAGAATCATTGATCGGCTGCCTCCTGCATGCCCCCAACTGGGGATCGAGCCCGCAACCTGGGCAATGTGCCTTGACCAGAATCAAACCTGGGACCCTTCAGTCCACAGATCAATGCTCTATCCGCTGAGCCAAACCGGCTAGGGCTCTTTAAAAGGAAATCTGTAAAAGATTATTTTTACAATTTCTGTTTGAAAAACACTGGTTTCCAAAAACAGTGTTTTCCCAAGCTTTGCATTTTGTTGTTGTTAGTTCATGTATTTTCTTTTCTTTATTAAGGTATTACTAGTATATATGTGTCCTTATCCCCCCATTGTCCCCTCATCCCCATGCTTTGTATTAAAAAAAAAATAAAGTAAAATATAAGCTAGTGCTCTTCATTTCAGGCAAAAAAACCAACAAAAAAACAAGACAAAAAAACCCCATTCCTATATCTAAAAATAAATAACCAATCTGTTTTTGATTATGGGTTTGAGTAGCAAGTAGATCAAAGAGGTTATTAAAATAAAAAGCAAGGCCCTCGCCAGTTGCTCAGTGGTTAGAGCATTGGCCCATGGACTGAAGGGTCACAGATGCGGTTCTGGTCAAGGGCACATAAGGCTTGATCACGGCCCTGGTTGCAGCATGCTGAAGGCAAACAATCAACATGTCTCTCTCACTTAGATGTTTCTCTTTGTTTCTCCCCCTCCCGTCCACCTCTCTAAAAAAAACAAACAAACAAAAAACCTCAATGGAAAAAATATCCTCAAATGAGGATTAACAAAACAAACAAATAAAAAGTCACACCAAAAAACCAAAAAGCAGGTACATCCATGATGGATCCCTGGCACCTACCGCAGACGCAGGTTCCCCCTTGGATTCACTGGCATCTGGCTCGGTGTCCTCGGTCTTGACCTCAGTCTTCATTTCCAGCATTGGTATTTCTGGTCCTGGCTGCTGGGAGTTGGTTTCAGCACTGGTCACTGAAGATGGAGTGGGTACCCTGTTCTCAATGCTGGCTGCTGCCTGGGAAAGCTGTAGAAAAACCAAAATCATTTATCTCTGTTAACAAAACAATATATATGATCTTAAAACTCTGCTGCTGGTTACCCAGTATACAGTTTTGTGTTAACATTTCTCAATACTAACCTAATAAGCATCCCTATTTGAGAGAACTGAAGAACAAAAGTTCAAATAGTTCTAGAGGAAGACAACATCAGGCAGAAACACAACTGATTTCTTGCTAAATAAACAGAGATGGAAGAGCAGAGCTTTCTACATGCTGATATGAAATTAATTTTCTGCAAGCTTTCTACCTAAGCCATAGAAAGAAGCCTCTATTTTGAAATTAATTCCTTCTACTAAGATCATTAATGTTTATGGATAAAAACTGAATTATAAATATACTAGTGACCTGGTGCACAGATTCATGTACATTGAAAGGAAATTAATTAGAAGGTGACTGGAGGGATGGGACTGGGCGAGAGAAGCCGCACCCTGGAGCCAACCTCCTGCAGTCCCTCCGCAGCATCTGCGGAGTGAGCAGGGTCCCTCTGGCAGGTGGGGTCCCTAGGCCTGGCCTGCCAGGATAGGCTAAAACAGCTCTCTGACATCCCCCGAGGGGTCCTGGAATGTGAGAGGGCACTCTACAAAGTTGCTGTTGTACAGGGTGTGGAATGCAAACGCAAGTGTGCAGTAAACCAGATTCGGGGCCAACAGTACCCCAGCAACAACATAACCCATGGCTGAAGGTGGAATCATGTGGCCCCGCAAGGAATTGGGCTCCCTCCTCTCTGGTTTCGGTGTGTGTCACCCAAGAACAGCTGCTGCCAAGTCACTGCAGCTTGGCAGCTCCTGTGTTGAGCATCTGCTGCCCCCTGGTGTGGTCAGTGCGCATCCTAGTGACTGGTCTCGCGGTAGGAGGGCCACTTAGCATATTAGCCTTTTATATATATAGAAGATAAGTATATATGTAGGAGGGGGAATAAAGTACCTATATAAAACAAGAATATATAATTAGCTTGTTAATTGCAGGAACAATGTTCGGATTAGTGGCAGAGAAATAAGCAAACATTAAGAGAAGGAACCACTAAAGGAATTATAAATTTTCAAAGCCTTACCCAAGGCAGTTTAAAGTAAACAAACAAAATTTCAAAGCCTTACCCAAGGCAGTTTAAAGTAAACAAACAAAAGATAACATAAAATTAGAAAGGCTTTGGAGAAATACAAATAGTAATGTTATCTTGGGATTGTTGTTGAGATTAATTTTAATGTTTAGTAAATACCTTCAGTCCCCAAGAATAAAGTTAATGTATTTCAGTGGGAGAGGGGTTTCTAAGTTAAACTGGTAAGAAAATGGATACTAAGACTGATTTTAGTGATAACTGGGGGAGGGAGGTGGAGGCAACAAGAGGGCAGCCTTAGGTCCCTGGGTCAGTGGGGCAACCCAGCCTAGGAGAGGCACTCAGACTGGCCACCTCCAGCAGGTCCATGGAGGACTGGGCAGATTTGAGCCACAGGAAGTACTAACCTGGATCTGCCAAGTTGTCATAAAAAAGAAAAGGCTTCCAGTCTGAAAACAAGGCTGATAGGCAAGGTCAAAGCACATACAATCAAGCACATGACCATACTTAAATGCTAGGAGAAAAACTACCAAAACTCAGAAGACATAAATCTAGGACAGATAACGGGAAACATACTGCTCTTATAAACAGAGTAGTTTAAAAATTCGACAGAGGACTCATGTATTATTTCTTTAGAATTGCTAATTTTTGCAAACTCATTTAAGTAGGAATGATAATAAATCATGTCCTGCCAAACACAGCCTTTCAGTTACTTTTTGGGGTGGCACCAAGATTCTAAAGCAACTTCATGGCAGAATTTTTTTAAAAAAATTATTTACTGATTTTGGGGGGTGGGGGGGAAGAGGGAGGACGGGAGAAAGGGAGAGAAGGAGAGATAGAGGGAGGAGTAAAAGAGAGAACATCGATTTTTTGTTCCACTTACTATGGATTCACTGGTTGTTGTTTTTGTATAAGCCCTTACTAGAAATCGAACCCACAACCTCGGCGTATAGGGACGATGCTTTAACCAACTGAGCTACCCTACATGGCCAGGGTCATCATGACAGATTTATGGGAAAGTTCTCATTAAGAGTCTCAGAACAAAGGCAACAGAGAGGCTCACCGGTGTGCCAGGAGGCTGGGTGTGCACAGGCGTTGGCTGTTGCTGTGATGACTGAGGGGTGGCCACAGATGGGGGCTGAACTGGGGTCTGAGGCTGCGGGGTCACCTGGGCTGCTGCCTGGACTGTAGGAGTGCTCTGTGCTTGACTAGCACTGGGCACTGAGCCAGGAGTTGGGGTAGGAGTCTGCCCGGAAGACGACACAGGAGTCCATGGCTGAGTGGGAGCTGCTGGCTGGGGAGGAGTCATCACAGGTGCTGTTGGATGCTGTAGAGATGGCATGCCAGCGGCTGTGGAAGCAGGAGGTGGTGTCTGGTGCAAAGGTGACTGTGTCACTGGTGGACAAGGCAGCTGGGACCCAAGCATGTTCAGAGGGTTAGGAAGAGCAGCACCAGGCACCTGTCCCTAACAGGGGAAACAGAGTATGTTAACATTATGTTCCCTATTTGGAAATGTGGCAACAAATTTGAAGAATTTAAACGTGTGAAAATCTAATCATGTTTTCTTGAAGAGGTCTACTGGGCACTGAGTTTCAGGAGCATGTTCCATTTGCAAAAATCTATCCAGCTGTACACTTATAATGTGTACTTTCCAATAAAGTTAATGCTATGTTTCTTCTATTCTGATTTATATAACTGTCAAAATTCCCGGTTTAAACATGTCCACTCAGCTTACTAGCTTCATGCTCCATAATATCCACCCACAGCTAAGACCAACAGAAAAGGTATTTATCTTAAACAGAAAAAAGTTGTTGAAATACTGAAATGTTCCAGTGCAGTGATCTCAGCTGAGGACAGGCTTCAGAGTATCTGTAGACCTTTGAAAAAGTGATTCCAAATCACTGGTCTAGAACAAGGGCTACAATTTACTGCCTATGGCCAAACCCAGTTAGCTGCCTATTTCTGTAGTAAAGTTTTATTGAAACATAGCATGCCTATTCATTTGTATAGGAATGAACATGGCGAACATGGCTGTGATTCCCCCACAATGGTGAAGGTTAATAGTTAAGACAAAGAGTCTATGTATGGCCCACAAAGTAAAAAATATTTACAGGACATATCTGCTGACCCCTGTTCTAGAGCAATGACACGTTCTGGAAATTAAGAATTAATGAATAGGCATTTAGAGAGTAAATTTAGAATAGTCAATTACTTTTATGCAATATTACTTCATGTTAAAAAATTAAAACACGAACTTCATATTTTAGAGGAAGGTTTGGCCTATTTTATTTATTTATTATTATTTTTTAATATATGTTATTGATTTTTTTACAGAGAGGAAGGGAGAGGGATAGAGAGTTTGAAACATCGATGAGAGAGAAACATCGACCAGCTGCCTCCTGCACACTCCCTACTGGGGATGTGCCCGCAACACAGGTACGTGCCCTTGATCGGAATCGAACAT